ACTAAGCTTTTGGTCTTTCTGGGCCTTTTGGTTATCTTCTGGATATGTCTCTTTTCCTGAGGGTTTGAAAAACACTAGTTTTCAATAGTAAAACACTATGCAGATCAAAATAATACAGAAAGATGGAGAATGTGGACAAAGGACGTGAAAAAGGTGGAGCCACTGAATCTCTTCCTTGCCACTTTGTCTCAATTTGTAATCCCGGATCCCTGAGACCAGTGGAGAGGTCTGGAGCAACACAAATGTACCTTCAGTAAAGGGGGATCAGGTTAGAGAATGTTTAAAAGAATTGGATGCACACAAATCCGTGGGGCCTGTTGGGATGTGCCCAAGAGTACTGAGGGAACTGGCTGATGTCATTGCAAGGTCACTACCAATAATCTTTGAAACATCTTGGAGACTGGAGGATATTCCTGAAGCAATGAAGGAAATAATTTTCATTCCAATTTTCAAGAAAGGCAGGAAGAAGATTTCAGAGAACTACAGTCTAGTCAGACCCACATATGATCTCCATCACAGAAGGTGATGGAGCCAATAATCCTGGAAATAATATCTTAACATATGACTGACAAGAAGGTGATTGGGAGGAGGTAGCATGGATTTATGAAAAGTAAGTCATACTTCCTCATAACAACACGTTTCAACATAAAATCCTGCTGAAAATTCTAATATTTTTGACTGATAATTTCAGGTTTGTTTCCTATTTCTTTATTTCCAGGTTATAGGTCAGGACCTGATTTTTAGTTCTAGTTGATCTGAGCCCTTATCACTGAGCAGAAGTTCTCAAGCATGCTTTTCTAACAACAGCTCATGCAAGAAAATACATATGTATAGCTTCTGTGCTCTTTTCATTTAAAAGTTTACTTTTGGGGTCAGTTTATAATCCATAAGGAATTTTGAATGTTGACATTGTTTCAGAAAAGTTCTGAAACATCTCTTGTCATCAAACCAACTATTTGTGTCCGTATGGTCTGTAACATTTTCTATTAAATGTCTTTATGCTTTCTATTCTTGATAATTAATTAAACCTGGGAGAAGCTCTTTGATCTACTTCTACAATCTTAGTGGGTGCCACTCTATGTGGTTGCGTGTAGTTACATACCTGGTGTGTTGTGATGTTTGCCATTTGGACTACCAGAATTGCCTTGGTTTAATATTGTTCTTTCACTATTGTATTTTGTCATTCTGTAGTATGAAGGAATTGCATGATTGAGATTTTTCTTAGCATTTTGTATGCATTTTAGCTGACCTGTCTGAAATATTCTGTCTGGATATGTATCATTACACCAATACAACCTGAAATAAGCAAACAAAGAAATCAGTGTGAAGGGTATCATCAGTTACAGAGGAATTGAATTATGACTCCACCACTGCTGTGAGGGAAGTAGCTACTTCCCTGTCTGCATCCTGACAGGAAGATGGCTTCTTCTCAAAGTGAAGCTTAAGGTGCTGAAGGGAAACCTGGGACCATTAGGACCTGGTGCCTCCAGGTCTACTAAAAGACATGGAATTGAGTGATTTATAAAAGGCTGGCTTCACACCTTTGAGCAAAGAGATGAGGAAGGAGAGGCCACTTTTTGCATCCTACAACATGGAACAAGAATGCAAAACATACCTGCCAGAGAGCTTAAGGGGAATGCAGTGTGAAAGACTACTGCTGTTTCACATCTGTTTCCCTAGAGGATTAAAAAAAGATGGGTAAATAATTCAAAGCATTTTGGCCCGTTTAGATCTGTGGGGTTAACTGTGTGAACCATTTTTGGTCCAGACACCTTTGAGGAATGATGGAGTTACATGTTCTTAATGTACAGAAGGTCACAATGAGGATGCTTTGGTAGTGAAGTGTACACTGAAGGCACAAATGAAGAAAGAAGGATCAGCTAAAGGAGTGTAAGCCCTTGGGGGTAAGGTCAAGGTTGTTATGTATGAATCCAGTCTCCCTGCTGTGTGTCAAATGTGAGATGAGTACAATTTACTAGGGCTTGGCATCCCCTCGCTAGCATCAGTCACTGAAATGGGCACACTTCTGTCACAGGACATCATCATAAAGGGATGTTGAATAGCCTCCCAGTTTAGAACAGAATGTTGTCTGCTCAGATTGGGCACTGTGAGACAAGTCTTTCCTAATAATAGGGAACTAATTTCTGCCCCATTTTTCTTTTATTGAGTGCTAAGGCCAGAAGTAAATGGCTTTACTTGCAAGGTTATTTCAATATGCCTGTTTTCACCATGAAAACCTTGAATAACACTCATAGTGTACGTGTCCTGATTTTCAGTTTTTATTAGTAAAATAGTGCCTGAAAAAATAAGAAGAAATGCAGCTATATGCACAATATTTTCTTTTTGGTGTGCTTTGGTACTATTAATGCTCATATTTATAGATCTCTTAACTTTCATAAGAAAAAATAATTAATATGCAATAAAACACCATTTTATGACATTTTAGATTTTGTTAGGATAATATTTGGCTCATTTTGCAACAAAGAGGTAGTAAATGGGAAGGGGAGGAGCAAGATGGTTTTCTTTGAAAATATGTAGGTTAAAATAAGTGACCAGCTGTATGCTTGACTGGTTACTGAAATGCTGGAAGAAATGTTACTAAGTGTGGAATTACATCATCTTTCCTCTATACACAGAAAAGGCCCAAGGAAATATCATTTGTCATAAGACCTACACTCCATGATCTAAAATGCCACTTCAATGCTGAGAGCAAAATAATTAAAAAAAACAACCAAACAAAAAGCACACAAAAGCCCCCAAAGCCTAAAGAAAGTGGTGAACAATTCAAATTAAATCAGTTTTTTACTGAAATAAAAGAAGGGCGAGGAGGAAAAAATCTTCAGTTCATTTAATAATTACAGTTTGAAGAGGGAAAAACCCAACAGTGCATAGACGGAGAAGATTGAACACATTAATGTACCTTTTATATTTTGTTCCTTATCTCTACAGAAAGTTATGATTATGTATGAAATCTAACACTGGCATCATAAAAATATAGTCAGTGTCTTTCTTTGCCTGCAGATCTGAATCTCATTTCCTCTTCTAAGACTGCAGAAAAAGAGCTTTGCACAGGGGACTCCCACAACATGGAGGAAGGGAGAGTAGCCTCAGCTCCCTCCAAAATCAAGGATCTCGCATAATAATATCTGTTGGCATCCCTACAGTGGTTTCAAAGCTGAGGTGATGTGTGACATGATTTTCTGAGAGCCAGAACAGCCACAGACTCTGTGAGCCGGAAGCTGGACCTCAGACAACTTGAGATGGCAAAAGCAAAGCCCCTGCTTAGCTGAGTCAAAGTAGGGTTGATGGACTTTGTGCTAAGACTCACATTGTCCTGCTTTCCGTGATGCATAACACTGTGTATTGGAGTTTCTGCAGACATAAAGAGAGAAAAAGATGGAGCTTTCTTAAGGCTGGTTTAGACTTAGAGGGAGGCAGCCACAGTGATTGCATTTATCTCAAAGGAGCAGGTGGGGTATCCCTTGCAGCCTTTATTTTCAGATGTTGTGTACATTTCTGTGAGAGCCAAATGCAGATATTTAGTGAATCAGAGCTAAACATGTAGCTTTAGACTGAAAAAACAGATCAGACTCTCTATGGTTTCTTACCTACACTGAAAAAAACCCAAAACAATCAAACCCTACCCAGACAGAGGCTTAGTTAATATTCCCATTGGATAGTTAATGTGAATTGCTCTTGTTATGAACTGTCTGCAGGCTTTTCAGGAAGAGAAGGTCAAGCATTTTCAAACCAGACAATACAGAGTTGAAACTGGATGGTGGTGCTCACTGGAGCTTCATGTGTTCCAGAGCAATGAAATGGAACTCAAAGAGTGAAACAGAGTCTTTTTACATTTTAAAGAAAAAGCAGATCTATGTATGAAGGCAAAATAAGTGAGCTCCAGTGTCAGTCAGAGGCTGGAGCATGTATATGTAGAGCACAGGACCTTTCTGGCCATCCATGGCATCAGCTCTTCAGAACATGCCTCTGGTGGACCTCAGTGTTGGCTATTACTCAAGTCTATAATAGTTTAGGACTTGCTAGCTGAAGGGCTGTATTTCTCCGTGTGTGGACTTCACTGTTATTATTTCATAAATATTTATTTCATAAATCCATGATAATTTAGGGCATGCTGGCTGAGGGGCTGTTTTTTTCCATGTGTTGTACTGTCTCCTTTGCAGGCACTAGAGCTATTTCCAACCAGTTCACCCTTGTTTTTTAAGGAAGGAAATTGGTGGCATACTGCTCAGAATTGTGCTGTGGCCCACTTGAATTTCTGATATTTCAGTGTCTTTTAACTCAAAGCTGCAAGGAATCTTAAGGAATCTTGAAAGAATCTTCAGAGTTCACTTTCCAACCCTTGGCCTGAAATAGTTAATTCCGTAAACTACAGCTCATATTGCAAAGCTGATTTAGAGGATTGTTGCTTTGAGAATGTGCTTTGAGCATGGAGAGACTTCTACTTTTGTAAGAACTTTTGGAGTTTCACTGTTTTGTTGTTTCTTTTTTATGGCAGAACAGTTGAGAGACTAGAATAGGTGTCTTTTATAGTGTTAACATGAAATATATGTATATACATACATATGTGGGTGTGTGTATATATATATATAAAAATAAAATGGAACTGAGGGTTAGTGTCAGTACTGAGCATTAGAAGCCGTGGAAGGTACAGTACTTTTCCCCCCTCCCTAGGTATTTTACTGCTCTCTTGAAACAGGATATAGAAAACCTTTAATTTACCAGTCAAAATATATGGAGTCAGATTACTAATCAAATGCTCATTTGGGACTAAGTCCCGGTCCTGCTGAAGCCACCAGAAACAAGGATGTGGAGAACCTTTCAGGACTGGGCCTCTCTTTCCAGAGAGCTGGAAAGATGTATTGGAGTTTTACCTGTGCAGGAAGTTGTAGCATGACAAGATGAGGATGTCACCCTTCAGAAGGGCTGTCTTAGATGGTAGGAGCCACTGCTCTGATGTTGGCTTCCCCTCGTTCTTCCAGGTGTGTCTGCTCAGCTGACCAGCACTCGTCTGCGGCGGAACACCTCCGTGGGCACCCCGTTCTGGATGGCTCCAGAGGTCAGGTTTCAAAACATTTTGTCACTGGTACTCGAGCTGCTGTATTCTGCATTTCTGCTCTTTGTCTTTCTTCCTGGTCCTTTCACCAAATGAAACAAAAACGTCCTTTAAAAAAGCGTTTAAAATCTTTCTGTCTTACATGTTTGCAAGAAGTAAGTTAAAACAAGGTTTATTTCTGAAATTACAAGATTAGAGACAGGGAGCAAGACACTGAAATGCTTACTAAAATGTTGAAGAATATAGAGTACTACTATTGATGCTTTCCATCCTTTCAAGCTCTGAAACTATAGATATCTCCCCATGGATGGAAGGAGCCTAGGTTGGTACTGTGACACATTATAGCTTCTATTTTTTGACTTCTACACTTGGAAAGTTTTTAATACTATATATCCATACTTGCTGCAGCAAGAAATGGAAAAGGTTATTATGAATTAAGAACATGCATTACGATTCTGTGGAGGTTTTTCCAGACTGAAATTGAAGCATGTAAAGATACATTTTAAGCTGAGACAGGAAAAATATTTCCTTATAAATAAGCTTATCTACTCAGAGTATTTGTGTGCACATAAACACATGCAAATACATCTGTTTGTAGCACATGAAATGACTCTGTTTATACATACTTATTTTTATCAACACACTCTGTTTGTATACATAGGTCTAGCCATATAACTAATGGCATAAATGTTGGTTTAGATCTGCAGCTGATGGCATGAAAAATTCTAGATTCATCCAGCATTATGGATGAGCTGAAATGTATATGAAGGTAAATACTTTGCTATGATCTAATGAACTTTGTCCAGATCAGGAAATTGGCTGATTTGGTTGAATAAGACCCAATAAGAGATAGTGAATTCAGCTTCTGCTTTCCTGATTGTTTCAGTATATAGAGAGAGCAGTATAGTTACAGTAATTACTTAGTGGGAATAATCCATATAAAGAGTTGTAGGGTTGCTGAGTTTGCTTCTACTTCCTCTGTTGTGGGATGCAGTTTATCACCTTCAGCTGAAAAAGCCATGGATTTTTACTCTTCAAATCAGAGCATCTGACTAGAGAATGTGGTGTTCATGGCCACTTGCTTTCTCTAGTTTTAAACATCGGGGTTTTTTCAGCAATTGGAGAGATGCTTTAGCTTTCTAAATGCGTGCATATCTGTTTATTTCACTGAATATTCTATAAGAGATTCCTCCAACTGTGGGTGTGTTCTTAAATATGGACTTTTAACCATCCCAGACTTTTACTCCAACAGGTGATTGCCTGTGAGCAGCAGCTAGATAGCTCCTATGATGCTAGATGTGATGCATGGTCACTTGGTATTACTGCAATAGAGTTGGGAGATGGAGATCCACCCCTTGCTGATTTGCACCCCATGAGGGCACTCTTCAAAATACCAAGGTAATATCTTAAAGTGCTTGTTTGTTGACAGGTTAGACTGAACTTTTTCCTTAACTGTTGCTTTCTTCAAACTGAGACCATGTAAGTTTGTAAATTTTATATATCTATATCTATATATCTATATATATAGATATAGATGTAGATATAGATATAATACTAGGAGGTATATATTTATACAAGGAGGTATGTTAAAAATAATTTGCCCAGCTGCATTTTCTGCAGGCTCTGCTTTAACCATGTGTGCACATTGAGAAGTTCAGAGCTGACATTTGAGAAAAACTGAGCAGCTCCTGACTGAGCAGCTGCCACATGAACACAGAACTTGCTTGAGTCTCATGTATTCTGTTTAAAAAATGACAAATACAGAGTGTGAATAAGTAACTGTGGTGAACAGGTCCCATATTTGTCTTCAGGAGTTATCTTCTATCCTTTGAGGCAAGGGTTGTTCCTCCACTCACATACATTTAGGCTTCAGCTTTTCATTAGCTTGTGCTGCTTCTGGCAGTTCCGGTGTTGCTGTCCTTGGACAGTGCAAATAGCAACTTCTTTTGTGTTTTTTGCTTTGAAGCTGAAAATGTAAGTACCTAAAGTGCCACTTATGGCATTTCAAAAAGCATCAATCTCCAAGTCTGTTGGTAATGATCATACAGTAGTAGTTTGTGGATTTCATCCTTAGAACTGGAGCAGTACCACAACAGCTGAGCTCCCATAGCATACGTAAGTGCTTAGAGTCCTTTTCAGCAAAGACACCCAAATTAGTTTAAATTACCTTAGGTTAAGAAATCTTGTCTGACTTAGCACTGAAGCAGAGTAAGAATGCTCTTCCTACCTTTGCATGCGATGGAAAAAGCAACTGCAAACTATTGTGGTCAGTCACTGCAGCTAGGACTTCAAAAAGCTTCTGGCTTATACTCTTCTAAGTAGTGGGCACCTTTCTGCCCTGGAGCAAATATAATGAAATACACTTTCATTCCGTTTAGTAAAATCTGAGAGTGATAGAGTAAACTTTAAGCAGCACTTAAAAAAAAGGAGTTATGATAGATTGAAAAGGGACAGCAAGTCACCTCATCTATTGACTGGTCATTCCTTTTGTCTTCACGACCATACTCAGTGAAAATGGCATCTCTGAATGGAAAAAGACTGTCAAAACCAACTAAATTAACACCTAGAGTAAACAGCTCTAAGAATAGAAAAGAAAGCAGTATATCCATTTACAATAGATCTGTATTTAAACCTTCACTTCTGATTATCTTCTGATGAATGAGGAATAATTAATAAAGAGCCAATTCCTTTGGACACTTTGTTCCACAAGTTGATTAGTTCAGTCCTTCTGAGAAAACTTGAAATAGAATTTCTTTTTTAAATTTCTCCTAAGAAAGTATATTGTTTCAGGCTTAAAAAAGGAACATGCCATTACAAGTGAATAGTGATTAATGGGTTGTTAGTTTAATTTCCTTTTATTGATTTGATTGAAAAAATCACAGTGATTCTTAGCTACACTTGGTAGATCATCTTGATACTATTTCTCCTTATTAGTTATGTAAAGCAGGAGAACCAGTGAGGCATTGCATCATCTACCTATGCTCCTTTTACCAGTGGAAATCAATATCTTTTTTTGGTGGCCTTCTAAAACTCATTACTCAGCCTGCCTTCACACATTGTTTTTGTCAAGTGAGTAGCTTATTAACTTATCATGACACTGACCTTTGCAGGAATCCTCCTCCAACCCTACAGCAGCCTGAATTGTGGTCACCTGAATTCAATGACTTCATTAACAAGTGAGTAACAACTGAGACCACTCTGGTTGAATATGGAACATGTGTAAATGTCATGTGTAAAATATGTTTTGTGGAAATCTGTTGCAACTAATACTTTTCCTTAAAAGGCTAGTTTGTAAATCTAGTTTGACTTCCAAGTGAGGCTCTGTGTTTAAAACATGAAATAACATTTCAACGCCCTTGATATTTTTTAAGTTAATGAATATTTAGTTTTAAAATGTAATGATGTAACTTTTTGGACTTGTCAATTCTGTGAAGTCGTATCAATTTTCAGTGCAGAGCTGTTTTGATTAAGATGGATGTATTTATTAAGGAGGCATGAATGAACTCCAGACAAGCATTTCAAAACTTAGCTACGAACCCTCAATGATCATATGTTTTTTTCTGCCAGCACAGGTGCTTGACTAAAGATTATGAGAAGCGTCCAACAGTATCTGCTCTTTTGCAGCATGATTTTATTAAGCAAATTGAAGGAAAAGAAAACGTGCTACAAAGGCAACTCATGGAATTTATTGATGTTCATCAACAAATGGGAGTCACTGAAAAGGCAAGGTAAAAGTGGTTAAAGAGTTTGGTCAATTTTGATATTTCACTGTTTCAGAATGACTAGCACTCAGAGAAAGATGCAACCCTTATGACTTTAGCTGGCAAAAAAATAGAAGACTTAATATTTGGGGTCTACTGTACTGCCAATGGAAAGAGAGAGGCATCATGATTCACATGGATGAAACCATCTTTAGAAGTGCCTTCCCTTTCTTTTGTGATTCAAGATAAGTCTTAGACCTCAGCTTTTTGAAAGGTAAGATTAGGTGAAATTAATGTTTGGCATTTTCTTACATTTGCATGATCAGGTAATGTTTAGTTTGAGCAAGTATGCTAAAAACAACTAGTCATGCTCTTGTAGGAATTGGATATTTCTGACTGAAATAAGTGATAGTTCTAGTGGAATATGTTTTACAAACTTCAATTCTTATGCCTTCTTGAATGGATACTTTCTTTCTTCTACTAGTATGTAAGTGATATCAATTCTGAAAAAATCACTGAACACTTGATATCTTTTATTTAAAATAAATGAAGTTGTCTTGGCTCAGTTTTACAATTGAAAAAACTCCATACAGTACACTCATGTATCAGATGTGAAATGTTGTAGATTAGTATTTAAGTACTGCTGGTGTGACTGCTCCTGCTTCAAGGAAAAGAATGATGCTTTTACTTTTTTCCTTTTTTTTAATGGAACATGAAATTTAAAAGACAGTTTGGAATTATCATCTATGTGGAAAAAGCTTGTTAAAATCTGCCACATTTCCTTTCACGCATTCATAATAACAATATATACAGCAGTCTTCAGTTCTGGTTCTGGAGAATTTTCTATTGACTCAGTGTTTTGAAGATAATAGTAAAAATACATTTCTAAGTAATTATGACATAGAAGTTTTTTCAGCTTTAGATATGGGAGGAGTAGTGCTTTCTCTTTTCTGACATCTCAGTATAAAACTATGCATTTGGCTTAAATTTAAGCTTCAGACTGGATTTATATGCTCTATATATTGCAGACTTGACATTTGCTTAATCCAGAAAGATTCTTGAATTAAATAAGCTTATCGGATGTCAGCACTGAGCACTATACCAGCAACATAATCCAGACTTTAAATAGCACATATTTATAAAACATAGGGAAATGATACATAGTAAAATAAGCCCAAAAACCACTAGGTTATATGAGTTGAAATCTTGTTAACATTTGTGATATTAGTCCTTTTAAAGCCTAAATAATTTTGGAAAAAATGAAGCTTCCAGTCAATTAGATATTGTGACTATTGTGACTTTCCCCCCCCCCCATTTTAGAGAACTAATTTTTGTTTTCATATTCTTTTTTTTTTCCAAATCCTTTATTTCTTTTATGTGAATGCTGCATAAAGCAAACTATATGAACTTTATTTGTTTTCTGTACAATACAAACATAAAGAAAGTGGCCCAGTATGCATGTGCATGGAGCAGTAAAGTGGCACAAGAACAGGATGATCTACTGGTATTGTCTCTGTCCTGTTTAGACTGTATTTTATAAGCTGAATTTTCTTCATGAGAACTAGAATTTAAGGAAATATATTACTAAGTGATGCAGTTGCCTATGCTTTTATAGTTGATCAAGTGTAACTTTTACATCAAATTTTCCAAAGGAAAACAGAATTTTCTCTTTCAAATTATTATTATTATTATTATCATTATTATTTCTTATCTGAATATGTGCAAAAAATGTACTTCTTTAATTCAGAGTGTAATTTAAATGGCATGGTTAAACTGAGCATAGTGCATATTTTAGTTTAGCAATTTAAAATACTAGCAGTAGTATTTCCAACCTAAATGGTTCTGTGGTTGTGTAGTTTTGTGAAATACACTGCAAGATGGTCTACAGAACAGAATTTGTGGGTTTTTTTCTGCTGTGAGTGATAAGAGATTATACAAAGATCTTTAAATTCAGTAGTGATGTGCTTTTTAAAAAGTCTTTTATTACTAATCATATGTATCTTCTGACCTTTAATCTGCACAAAGCAAATTGTGTTAAAACCAGTGTCTGTACAGAAGTACCATGTAAATCTGATTTAGAGTCAAGACCAGGCTATACAGTGATGAGTCCCCTGGAAGAGCTGCTCTTTTCTTCTTTATGCTATTCTGGCACTGTTTTTACATTGATGTGTTAGGGTCCTACTGTGAAATTTCTGAACTTTCACCAGTTGCTGGCAACTTTCCTTGTAAAACTTCTTCCTGATCTCGAGCTCACACTCTCAGTCCCTAATTTGAAGGCATAATTCTCCTCCTTGACAATGGGAGTGACAGTAGGAGTCAGGTAATTTAAGTAATTAAAGATCTTTTCCTTCCAATGAGGGAAGAAATCCTGCTACCTGTGTTGTGTTGTATAAATGGGAATTGGAATATAAAGTCAATATAAATTTGGTAATGTTGAGTTAAACCTAAAAGTTAGAAATCAGTTATTTTCTCTGTATGTGTTTACTCTCCTCGTCAAATATTACTTCATTAATTGCAATTTTATATTTCAAAAGAAAAAAATTAACAGGTGAGGTCCAGCCACGAGGTTTTATTGTGTGCACTATTTCTGTTTTCACTCAAAATCAAGTCACCTTCTTAGCCCATTGGGCTGAGGTGTGATTTGGTTGTGAGTGCATGGTGCAGTGGCAGTCTGTTGATGTGCTTGTGATCTCACCTTGCTGTTTGCTGAATGTGCACTTGATACAGTTCAAAAACAAAAGCTCCCTATGTTATGTCACATTCTCAGGGTTTCTTTGCAGAGGGCCTTACCCTCAGATCCAGTCTTTGTGCACAGTGTGTGTTCAGGAAGGATGTGCAATCTCTAGGCACAGAGTGCAGCCACCCTGAAGTCTCTCCTTTGGCACCGTTGTCCCTAAGGTATTTTCTAACACTGGGGAGTCATGAGGGCCCTCAGAACCTTCCCAGTGTTGTTATTCTAGTGAAGAGGAACCAGGATTAAGGTTCTGCATTGTACTGCATCCTCTCAAGAGATGGAAACAAGAGAAACAGCAAGAGGAAGAGAGCCCACCAGCCACCTGGCTATCTATTGAAATCTCAATTAACACTGAGAAAACTTCAAATGGCAATGTGCCACAGCCTGGCTCCAGATTTAATCAAAATGATAGAATATAATAGTGGTTTTTCAGTACCCTTTGAGCAGTGTTCTAGCACTAGAATATCTTGTGCTACTCAACACTCCAAAAAGCATAAATATTAGCAATGAGCTTCATTAAAAATTCCACTTTTTTACTGTGAGTAAATGCAGTACATTTTTCTCTAAAATCATCATTTTTAATGCTAAAAATATCTATTTGCAACTTCACCTTTCCTAGCTCAGAAATCAGACTGAAATGAAAATGGGAATAGCAGGAGAAATTATCCCTTGATACATTAATATTTTCCCATAGCGTCCTGATTGTAACATCTTTAAAATCTGCTCCTGGGAATGATATATGCGCTATATATCAAATATGCTATATGAGATATGCTATATGGGATAAATTCACATTAGAGAAGAGGTGAAGCAGGCAAAGTTGTATACTAAGTGCAATTAATTTTGATGGGTTTTTGTGAGGAAAGTCACTTTCAGGACAGGGGCCCTAAGCTTGAAAAAAGCTTTCAGTATAGCAGTATAGCTGTTAAAATTTATAATTAGTGATGAAAATAGTTATTAAATATGAGCACTGCAGCATAAACCCCAAAATAGTTCTAAAAATACACTTCTTGCTAGGCCAAAAGAGGGGGGAAAAAATCCCTGCATTGTAAAGAATTTTACTCTGTTACAAAAATAGCTGTCTTTGAAACAACCTTCAGAACTGTCGCATCTACACCTGACAGTCAGGCTTGTAAGACTTCTATCTTCAATTGTTTGGCTGTCTTCTTCTTGACTGCTTTTACAATAATCTCTATAGAAATATGCAATGATTAGTACATTGTGTATTTCCTTGGAATCGTGAGTCATTCCAGAATGAGCTGTACATATGAGGGATATTCAGTGCACCTAGACTTCAGCAAAAGACTCTGGTCCCCAGATTAAGAGTCATCTTTATACACTTTCTGAGTAATTATGAGAAAGAGACCTATTCTACTGCAAAATGATGCAAAGTTTTGGGTGAGCTAAATTATTTTCTTAGGAGTTTGTCCTCCTGTATTGGTGAGATAGACTTGGCACTGAAATCAGTAACAGAATACTAAACAGTTGCTCTATTTAACTGTTTGGAAAGGCCAGGGAGATAATTTCATAGACGTTCATGTACAACATGCACAGAGGTGGTTGTCAATTTATTGACCCCTATTAAAAGTAGGGAGTACCATAAAGTTTCCTTTTGTAAGTTTCTCTGATTGCACAGACTTGTGTCACTCATTTTCTGGGTATTCACTCTGTCCCAGTCTCTCTGACTCATCCTGCCAGTGGAAAGCAGCTGACAGCAACCCTTCAGGCTCATCTCTGCAGGGCAGGCTGTGGGAGAGGGTGGGAGATCACCATGCTGGCTGGAAAAACATAGTATGAGGAGCAGCACAAGATAGTACACACAGAGTACAGTGCTGTCTTGGCTAAGGTCTCCAGATGACATCTGGATAGAAATAGTAGTTTATATGGGAGGTTTTGGAGTTCCAGTTCAATCTTTGATCCCTTTAGACCAGTTCTTCCTCTCCTGGAACTCAGTGTGGGCTTTGTTATATCAAGAAGTGTGTGCTTCTGCTTTGAGGACACTCCTACGTGGGATGGCTGTGCTGCCAACTTCTCTCAGGCTGTAGAAGCAGTAGGGACATCTGGGAACAAAGGCATTAGAATAAGCAGATCTCCAGTCTCATAGCACATACACATCTCTATATCTGAATTATGTTCTATATAACACAATGCACAACAGCAATGCCTGAATGAAGACTAGTTTACCTTCTGAAGAGAACAGGAGGAAGATGTTCCTCCTGCATTCAGAATTCCTCAGAAGAAATACTCTGCAAGTGGAACTTAACTTCTGTGACAGTCCACTTGCTCAGCAACTCATTTTTCCTGAAGGTGGGGACACTACAGTAGGCATTTGTACCCATGGAGCTTCTGCTTTATCATCTCACTATGGCCGTGAGCACAGTGCTGGGCCTGACTCATGAGGCACTAATCCCAAAGAGTCCTTTTAGAGATCCCCTATTTGCTCAGTTAAGAACACACACTTCGCCCTGAAATTTGTCAGGGATGCAGCTGTTTCTTGAGGGTGTTGTGAAGGAATAATAATCTGCTTGGTTTACAGGTCATGGAAAAGCAGCACAAGCTTTGTCAAACAGATTGTGCAGAGCTGGGCACAGGCCACCTCTGAATCAAAAGCCCCATAGCTCTGCAGGGCAACAGTATGCTCTCATAAACATTGAAAAAGCTGCAGCACAGCTCCCTGAAACTGCAGCCTGTAGTCTCAGTGCTGTCAATCATTTAAATATAGAGGGGAACACAGATTTGTCTGCAAAGCATTGTGCAGATGCAGCTGGAGGCTTATCACTGAAGTCTTACACTTTCTAAAGTCAGGTACAGATTTTTCATAGATAGCAGACCGTGGTTTTATTTAAGTAGATTTCACAAGATAGGTTGGTGAAGAAAAAATTTTGATTTTAAGTGTGAACTAATATTGCTTTGTGCAGCCTCCAGAGAAAGAGAATCACCAGCAATGACAGATCCTGTAGAGACTTCTCTATGTTGCTTCTTTGTCATTTTACTGCTGTTTGTTTGTAACTGCTGGGAGGTGTACAGCTGTTTCCACCTTCACCTTACAAAAACTTTGTTATTTTTAGTCTCTTTATACTCAGACTAAGGCCAGCCCTTTTCCTGTCACTTCTTAGTCTGTAGATGATTCTCCAACGACTTTAGGCAGAGAGTTCAGCAGGGCATCATGAGTCACACTTTCCTTTTCATGGTATTTTTGGAACTATCAGAAATCTTTTAAATACATTCTGACAATTTGAAGAAGAAAAGCTGCGGTAGCTTCATTTTGATTTAACTGAATCTTGAAACATAAGTGGGGAGAGGGGAGTATTGGTGTGAAAGAGAATGCACAGAAACAATGCTGTCTTGACTCATTTTCTTGTCCTTACTGCTCTGATGTTTCTGGCCTTTAGCTTCCTGAATTGCTTGTAAAATCCAATGCCTCCAACGTATTTTTGAGCAGAACAGAGATACATGGTTATTTCAGTTCACAATGTCTATGTGCATGATCTTAATGAAACTTCAGCACTGATGTCAACAGCACTGATGTGGGTTTTTTAAAGTGGTTGGAGTGAAGCAGTATAACTGCCCTTGAGGGGTCTGTGCCCTTTGACAGCAAAGTGGAAAGATATTGTGTTCTGCAAATCTGCCACTCTTATGTACTCTGGAGAATGAAGAATATAATCCGGTCCAACAAGCACTGGTGTTCTCATAATGTCAGCTGAAGAGGATTACAGGAGGATCGATTTTATGTAATTAAACTTCTCTAGCATACACAGAGATCTGTTTCCTTAAAAGAAAAATAAAATAGAAAAAGAGAAGTGTCCATGACTGGAGAATTCTCCTCCCTTCCTGCAAGGTAATTGTTATTTCTTACATAAATGAAAAATGGTAATTGAAACTAATCCTGGGAAATACCACTCTCTCACTGATATGCAGTAGCATTTAAGGACCTAACATATTTTTTAAAATGTGTTCAGTGTGTAACAGTTCCACCAGAAATGGAAAGCAAAGCTTGGCAGATGCTTTGTTTTGATTCTTTCTTCAGCAATGGAAAAAAGAGCTTGACATAGTCCTGAAATTCCCACATCTTTCCCTTGTGTACATATTGATAGCTCTCTCTCAAAGTCACACTGATATTAGATGCATCCTCTGAACACAAAATTACCTTCATACAGGTACAAAGGAGAAATCATTTCAGCTGTCCAAATTTAAATTTTTTCAAATGAAACTTTTAAAAAGAGGTTATAAATAGGAGTGTGAATTATAAAGGGGATGGATTTCTGTTGAGAGGGTAGGATATTGTCTGCACCTCTGATTTTTGGATTCCGCAATGTCATTTAGCTGCTACATGCAAATCAAACAATAGCAGATTATGCAAGACTGAGGAGTTAATTTAAATCTTAATATTATCACATCATCTTTAATACGACCTGGGGGTGCATGCTACCAAAAATTTTCTCATGTTCTTATTGCAAGGATAGTACTATCAGGACAGCTCTTGTGGTAAACTGGATTCCAAAGGAAAGGGAAAAATAGGTCAAACCTAGGATAAGGTACATTCTGTCAATCCTTTGCTTCATTGTACTTCACTTATACCTTAGCCTCTTCACTGGATACTGTGATGTGATTTTGCACAGAAACTGTGAAACTATGGTAGCTTTTGCAAGGAAGTCTTACATGTTTGTGTCCTGATATTAAAGTTGCAGGATTAGTCAAAATTGGCTGACACCAGGATGGTGGTACCAGGATAAGGACAGGCCATTCCATCATCCTCAGGGAATGATTGTTAGAGACAAGAGAAATTGAAAGAAGTGATAGATGAAGTGCACTCCTTTCTGGATTTCCATCAACCTGACTGTGATTGCACTTACAGTTTGGGAGGGCATAATTTACCCATTTCTTCCAGTTCCTTTTCAGTGCTGGGCAGTTAGTTATTGCACCAAGTTGGTGCCTGCTTGAGTTTCTGCACCTACATTCCTCATCAGTGCACAGCCAGCATGACCTGAAGCAGCACTCATGAACTAGGTGATGTCATGGAACAGGTACAGCCCATTGAATGTGCAGTAAGTTGGTGGGTGTTCAGCTTTCCCCATGAGTGTGATGTTCACTCACTCTAACTTTCCATCTTGGGGTGACTACTCTCTTCTATCATCTGTTCACTGTATATCAAAATTCTTGCCTGTGTAGACACCTGTCTGCTTTTACCTATGCCATACATCCAAATATGAAAATTAAATGAATAATTGCCCTATTCTTGTCTGGGATCAAGGTAAAGGGTGAGTGCTTCACACAATAGTTTCCTGGCTGTCTCAGTTTACCAAGGTAAATGTGTTTGAGAGGTGCCTTCCCACCAGTGGCATCAAAGGGAGTGAGGTCATATCAGGAGATCAGATTTACTTAATAATTTTTCTGGGTTTGTGCCTTGTTACACATGTAAGCTTGATTTAGCTTGTGAGCTCTGCTTACTTATCCAGTTTCCCTTTCCCTTATTTTCCCTCATCTCATAAAATGAGTGTAACTGATTTGAATTGTAAGCCTTGCATTCTCTCCTGCGTTTGCTCTATTTAGCAATGCCTTTACTCTTGGATAAAGAACAATCCAAGTCTCTGGGAATTTTCTTGCTAATTAAAATAAGACTGTATAAAGTTGGGTTTATGGTTTGATTGAAGGAGAAAAGAAATCTAACTTTAAGACAAATTTAATGTTAAACTTCAAGTTTAACCCTGATGAGAAAGATATTTGAAATTGTGTTTCCTTCTCATGTATGACTTTTTTTCCCTAACGAGTCCAAGAAAATTTGGTCAAGATGTATTTCATGCCTGTGCTTCTGTAGCACTTTGCTCTATAGTGTGGTCATCTCAGCCAGACTTTAGAGCACTGTAACTACTAAGCTAGAAAAGTTTCCATCCTGAATGCTTTGTTTGTATCGTCTTTGCCGTACTATTTCATCATACACCCCTGGTTTTGTCCTATACATAACTCTTAGCAGCATCTTTTTGCATGTTGGTGCCAGTTTCACTGTTATAAGCTTTATAAATATGTTCTTTTCTTTTACTTGTATTGCCAAGCTCCAGTCCTGCAGCTGATGTAGGGATGTGATCTAATATAGAGTGACAAAGTTGTTCATGGTAGCAGTTCTGGGATCAAATAGCTTTTGAACTGTCAGGTACAGGTGTGTTGTACCAAGAAGTTGACTCTTGTCCTGCTATTCAAACATTTGTGTGTTTAAATTCAGAACAATGGAAAGCTGGAATGTTTTGACCTTGAAGATGGTTGCATAGGCAAGATCTGCTCTGTGTTTCCTCACATCAGAGATTGTATCTCTTTCTTTTCTAGATTTGAACGTATTCACACAAAGAAAGGGAACTACAGTAAGTCACTAGTTTCAAACCAAGAAGAGGTAGATGATTTAGCAACCTTGGAGGTATTGGATGAGGTAAGAACTTCTTTATTTATGTTTTTCTGAAGAGGAGTAATCACATTAAATCACAATGGTGTGCTGTTGATTTTCAAAGTTCACTGTATTATCACACTTCAGTTGTGTAAGTGTACAATGACATTTCACCACTTTATGCCATATATTTTGGACAAGATTTACCGTGTCAGCAAGGTTCCAATACAAAGCTAAAGCAATCTCTGGAGTTACAGCTGCAGAGCAAACAGTACTGTACATCATTGACTAAACAGGATTTATATTATTGGATTTTATTAAAGCTGAGTATCCAGCTTGCAGTGGTGTGTTAACCTGAAATTGGTCTAGATCCAAGACCTTCCATCCCTGTTGCTTGAACACCAAGAGTTGTCTCCCATACTGGGTTCTTGCTGACTTATTTGGTGTGGAAATGCACGAGGGTCAATTTATGTCAGCTGAGCCTCTCATCTGTCAATGCCTGCTGGTGAACCTTTGACCAAATCACTGATAGAAATACCACTGGTTTGTCAAAGTTCAAAAATTAGTCCACTGGGTGCAGGGAAACATGGCATAAGGGAGGGAGGAAGTCTGCTCTGTTTATCCTTTAAGCTTCCAAAGCAGAAAGAAGAATCAGGCTGCAGCACATTATCTGCAGGTCTTGGAGGCCATCAGTGGTTGTAAACAAACTGTCATTCTTCATCTAGTGGGCTGTGCATAGACTATAATTCACATTCTCTTATCTGTAAAACTTCTCTGGTATATTGTATTTCTGTCAGTCCAGAATATTCATTGTGGCACTTGGGCTGGTAAAGTGTATAATGCTGACAGCTCACAAAACATTTTCCATCCTGCCAAGAGCTTTGTTATAGTAGCTTGATGTTTAGTTAATTGTAATTGAGCTAACCCAAACTTCATCTACTGGACAAATTCAGGTTTAAGCAGTTTTTTTTAGTATTGGGAAGAGTAAGACTGTTCTGGGGGTTTTTTTCATCTTTTACCATGATACATATAAACAATCCAAGCTAAAGAGATTTTATTGCACAAAAAAAGCAAACAAACTGAAATATATCCCATCTCCTCAGAGGTGGAGAATTCTCATGGAAGTCCTCAGGAAGCCTCTATGTAAATGCATTGTTTGACTGTGTAGGGTTACTAAATCAAATCCAATTTAAAACCACTTTCACATATGAATGGAAGCTTCTCAGAACTGTATTCTTTCTTCCACTCAAATTTTTCTTCCAATTTAGATAGCCTCATCATCAGACCAAGACAAGACACCTATTGGTACAAGAAATTATTTCAAGAAGGGCAAAAGTTCCTCTAAAATAATTCTGTAACATGAATGTGGTTATGGCCGAAAGGAAAGAGCATTCAAAACCAAAATGTTTATCGAAGCAATGAAAACCAAGATTTTCTTGTTATGTTTTCTCATGAAGGAAATATAACCTCTACAACTGTTGAGAATTCAGCTTTTAAGTGTATAAAACAGGACACAATGTACAACACTGTGAATAGATGGATGAAGAAGGAAAGCAATTCCTTCTGTAGTCCTCTGCTGCCAGTTGGTCTTTTCCAGTGGGTATGGGGCCTAAATATTTTCATATGTACCTCAGATTAGTCTCAAGGCTGGTTTGAATTTCTTCATTCAGCTCTATGGCCTGTTTTGATAGGAAACCTAACCAGGCACTTTATATACTCAGCTGTGTATGCAGAAGAAGCTGAGAGAAATTACATCAAGAAATTTGAATTCCACTAATGGACCCTTCTTTTTCCTTTGGGGAACTGGCTCTGCAACAGCAAAGAACAATCACAGCAGAGACTGCCTGTTAATAGGAAAAGATGCCTTATTGTTTACATTAATGGGAATCAAACAGTTGAACATCTGTGTTGTATCATAACTGAGAGTAATGTTAGAGCAGCTGTAATGTCAGTTATGGACTCAATCAAATGGCTCTTGCTTGATAAGTGACATGAAACTTGTAGTAGAAATGTAGACAAGACTGTCTCATGGAAACCTCTGATGAACTGAATGAAAGCAGTACTTATTAACTCCTTTTTCTACAGCCACTTGAAGATCTGTAAGTATATATTGTTCAAAGTGAGTTTGGACACACAAAAAAAATAGAAATGCTAGTGTGGTTGAAAATATTACTTACTGTAATCATGATCCATTGTAGTCTTGACTATAAAGACCTTCCCTCTGAATCCTCACTCATTGAAACCATATAAATATTTTATATATTTTCCTAATATTCTTTTTTTCCCCCATGTGATTCTTTGTTCCTGTTCCTTCCCCATCAGAATACAGTAACAGAGCAGCTGCAGAAGGGTTATGCCAAGGACCAGATCTACACATATGTTGGGGACATTCTCATCGCTGTCAATCCATTTCGGAACATAGATATTTATTCTTCACAGGTGAAAATTTAAGTTTCGTTATTTTAAACTAGCACCAAATTCCACTAAAATATAAATATTTGTGTCAAGTATCAGATTAATTTTAGCTTACTCTGAAAAACAGAATTATCAGTAGAGATGTTCTTTCAAGTGCATATTGACACACATTCTTAACATTTGCTGAATTTCAGCACAGAAATGAGAGACTCCAAAAGAATTAATTTCTAGTGTCTTTATGCCTACAGTGTAGATCATGCACAAAGCAATCCTGTAAAATGTTAACTTCTGCGAATCTATCTCCTCATTGTGCAAAAGGGAATTTGTCTCCCTCTTATAAAAAAGGGGAAAGATATGAAAGTTGGATCATACAGTAATTTGGGGTTATTAATTATCAGATACTGCAGGTACAGAAAATATCTCAAGTTTTAACATCAATATCATGCAGAGATACTAATAGGAAGGGAAGCACAAATAAATTTAAATAGGTTGGAATTATGATGTCTGACAACAGTAAATTTTCTCCTAATAAATTGAGTTTCAAAATGTAATCAGGGCTAAAATTACAGAAAATTACACTTCAATTTTTTAGCTGTTCTTATAGTCCTAAGTACATACAGATTCATGGTATAGTGAGTGCAGTAACAGCTCCCTCAGAAAACATCACATCACTGCTGGAAACCTCAGCATGCTGTGCACTAATCTAAAAATAAAACCAAACTTCAATTAAAAAAAAAAGTCTTTAAAGGAGAGTGATATGTTTTTATTTTTCTTACACTTAGCATTCCAAACTGTATATTGGAGCCAAACGGACTGCCAACCCTCCTCACATTTTTGCTGTTGCTGACATAGGCTATCAGTCCATGGTGACATACAACTCTGACCAGGTACAGATGAGGTGTCTGATTACATCCTCTGCCAGGCTGAGAGATACATGATGAGCTCAGTCTTGCTCTGTTCTCTGCAGTGTATTGTTATTTCTGGAGAAAGTGGAGCTGGCAAGACACAAAGTGCCCATCTGCTGGTTCAGCAGCTCACTGTTCTGGGCAAGGTAAGTGGCAGAGGGGATGTCTGTAAGGCTTTGCTGTCCTGGGCCTAAAGGGCTGAACCTGTGCATGGGGCATTGGTTGTGGGGTGAGGCTGTTACACATTTTCCAAAGAACATTGGAACATGATGCCAGTCTCCATCCTGAACTAGGGTCACTTGAGAATATGCTAGGGTTTCCACAGGGAAAAGTACCCACTGCAGTGAGGGCTGTAACTTATATCCCTGTTTGAGTGCCTTCAAATCATCCAAACAGTACCAAATAAAATCCTCTTCTAGCTTCTCATCCTTCCACAGCCAAATTGCTGTCAGAGGGACATAGTCATTCTGGGAAGTGGCCACTATAACTGTCTAAATAAAATGGTTTTTTTGCATGTCCCAGGAGAGATGAAAGCAAACTAATGGATTTGTAGGGTGCAGTGGAGCAGTAACCAGATGCTAACAAGGATCCTAAAAGCAGATTGACCATCTCAGAAACACAGAAACCACAGAAATTCATTGGTAGTGTTGTTATCACTGTGTGTGTTATCTCTTCCAGATGGTCTTAGATCTGAAGATTGCTGTATTCTGACAGATTTAATTTTTACATATATATATACACGCACACATACATATATATAATGAAATTTCATTATATATATATATGTATATATGTATATATATGCCTTTCTTTCCATATAGTTCCCATGGGAATGGCTGCCCTGATTATGTCACACTTTACAATACCAATGAGAAGATTAAAGAAACACCTAAAAATGTAGGTATTTGAATAATTACTCATAATTTGAAGCAATATCTTTTTCATATCCAGGCTAATAACAGGACTCTGCAGGAGAAGATTCTCCAGGTGAACAACCTTGTAGAAGCATTTGGGAATGCAGGCACCATCATAAATGATAACTCAAGCAGATTTGGAAAATATTTGGAAATGAAATTTACTTGTGGTGGCACTGTAGTAGGAGCTCAGATCTCAGAGTACCTCCTTGAAAAATCCAGAGTTGTCCACCAGGCAGTGTAAGTATGAAAATTGTGTTTGATCTAATTTGGGGGTTACAGAATAGGCCTATGATGCAGGAAATCACCCTGTTTCAAAGCACAAAAATGAATAAGGTACCTGGAATTTCTTCTCTTAAAAGTTGTATATGAATAGCTTATAAATCTGTAAACTACCTGAAAACTACTTCAGATTTTCGTTATCCTCTGGGTTGTTTAAACAAATCCTATAAAAATTCCCATGTGATATATATAAAAGAAGAATGTGCAAAGAGTTAAAAACTTTCTAATAGTTCAGGTATACTTCAGGTATATTTCTTTGTAGAATTTTGGAGTACTGTGTTAAGTATATAACTTAGATTTACTTCCTCTAAATTTCCTGTAGTAATGTGGCTTATTTCTTTGGTTTTTTGCTCATTTTCCATTTTGGAACATCTAGTAGGATTTGTTTATAGAGAGTTATGGGTCAAAGATCCCTGCCGAGAAGGACTTGGGGGTGGATGAGGGGCTGGACGTGACCCAGCCATGTGCACTCACAACCCAGAAAGCCAAACGTGTTCCTGGGCTGCATCCAAGGCAGCATGGGCAGCAGGCTGAGGGGGGAAATCTGCCTCTCTACCCTGCCCTGGTGGGACCTCACCTGCAGTGCTGCATCCAGCTCTGGGGTCCTCCCTACAGGAAATATGTGGACCTGCTGGAGAAATTCCAAAGAAGGCCACCAAGATTTTTAGAGGGATGGAGCACGTCTCCTGTAAGGAACAGCTGAGAAAATTGGGGTTGTTCAGCCTGGAGAAGTCTTTGGGGTGACCAAATTGTTGCCTTCCACCTGAAAGGAGCCTACGAGAAAGATGGAGAGAGACTTTTTGCAAGAACATGTAGTGACAGAGCAAGGGACAAGGGATTTAGGATGAGAGAGAGTAGCTTTAGATATTAGAAAGAAATTCTTTAGTGTGAGGGTGGTGAGGCATTGGCACAGGTTGCCCAGAGAAGTTTTGGTTTCCCCATATCTGGAAGTGTTCAAGGCAGGCTGGATGGGGCTCTGAGCAACCCAGTCTAGTGACAGGTGTTCCTGCCCATGACAGGGGAGTTGAAACTAGGTAATCCTCCCCACCCAAGACATTTTATGGTTCTATGCTCTAATGGTGCCCCTGAGATACACCTAAGCTCATGCACACAGTAGGGGTTTGAACACAATTCCTTTTTGCCATTCAGTAGTGACTGACTTGAGCATCTCAGGGTTCAGTCATGGTAGCAAATTTTCACCTAGCTCTTTCTCGTAAGGGGCACAGGAACCTTGAATGTGTAATAAACCTCTATCCTAGGTTTGGGCATCTAGCTTCTAGGCAAAGCATGCCAAGCCATAAGGCCCTTTTGCTGAATGTCTGCTTCTTGATTCAGGGCTAAAGGACACAGCAGACATACTGCATTCAGTGACCCAGGAGTGCATACCTCTCCCACAGTCAGAAGATTTTTTTGAATAACTGGAATTAAGCAGCTCATTCAGTGTGGGTGGGTGAGCAATGTGCAAGATCTCACGCAGCATCTACCAATTGCATCAAGGGCAGAGCATCACTGAGCTGCTTTAGCACTGAGCAGCCACTCTGGCAGTGTCAGGACAAACACACAATGGCATGAAAAGGGTGTTCACAGGAAGTTCTGTAATAAAGCTTCTTTCAGAGTCCTCTATCAGTTTGTGTGAGTCTTGCCTGTTATTAAAATAATATTTAGTAATAGTATGTGTGTCATCAGTAAATGTAGCATGGTTATATTATTAAATCAGTTTGTTGTTTCTGTTGTTTCAGAGGAGAGAAAAATTTCCATATTTTTTATTATATTTATGCTGGTCTCGCTGAAAAGAAAAAGCTGGCACATTATAAACTGCCAGAATATAGACCTCCCAGGTAATGCAGTTTATTTTTGCATAAATTGATTACTAAGAAATGCCATGTTGAATTCTCAGCCTCATTTACATTCTAACTCTGTATCCATCAACTCTTTCAGATATCTGCAAAATGATCATTTCAGAATAGTGCAAGATTTCATGAACAATAGCTTTTATAAGTCTCAGTTTGAATTAATAGAACAGTGCTTCAAAGTCATAGGTTTTACACTGGAGGTGAGTGCTGATAAACCTTTTCCTTTGTGAACTTTACCAGCTACCTCAGGAAAAACTTATATAAAGCATTCCAATCTCTCTTGTTATTTTCTTCCTTTAGCAGTATTGTGTTTGTTTTAGGATCTTGCACAGTCAACTTACGGTTGTATAGTAACATTTAAATTTTTAAGGTTTCAATGCATTGATAAATCAATAAAATGGTATTAGACTTTGAAATCAGTGAACACAGCACAGCTGAGTCATTGGGCAGGGGGGCAGATTTTAACAAATTTAATGCATGGAAAATTATGTTGTAACTGTTTATTAGCCAATAATTCTAGGTCTGTGAATATGAGCCTCATCTCAGTTTTAAGAGGAAGTCCATGGTGAGAGTTCTGAAAATTCATTGGGTTGATCTGAGTATTGATGAGCTCAATACATTTTCACAACTCCAGGGATAAAGTAGAATGAAGTTCTTGAATCCCGTTGGAGGTGAATCTCATCACTGAACATTAACTGAACCCATTCTTTCTTTATGATCTCATATCATTGCTCAGGTAGCTGTTAAACCCCTCTCCTCAGTCTGTCTTTGGTAGAATTAAAATAAAAAAGGACTGGATTTATTAAGGAAAGAAATCCCATCCTATGACCTAGTTTTACCTTAGGAGAAGTGGTGCATCACAGGTGTCGTTTATATCTGTCTTTATTTATAAACAATATAAATAGAAGAGGTATGGTCCATACAGTATCCATGAAATACAGCACTAGTGCTGCAGAATTGATGTATGTTTTAATTTCTCTGACGACACTGTATGAGGTAAGGAGCTTTTCACAAATGCTCACTTCAGTTGACTATTTCTGGCTTCCCTCTAAGTAAATATTTGAAATAGCTAGCAGAACAGATTTATTCACCTATTTTGTTCCTTCATAGTCACTTTGCATTAGGTTGTAGTGGCAGTGTCATTCACAGTCTCTTTCTCCTCTACATGTTATTTACAGCTGCATTTAGTAATATCACACCTGTACTATCACATCCTTTCACTTGTGCTTTCACCTTTCCAGAAGCAGCATGAAAGGACATTCATGGTTCAGCATTTATAGCAGTTTTGTCACAGCACCAGAGACCTTGATAAGTCCTAATTTAAAGCAAGAAAAGCAGCAAGTCTTTTTTTGTTTCCAGTTCTTTTGCTCACTTGGACGGGTGGAAACAATAATCCTGACCATCCAAAAGAGGCCTTCCATACACATTGAAGATGCAGTTAGAACCAGGTCACTGGCTGCATTGTGCAGTTCTAGCATGGATCTTCACTTGATTAACTCAGCAAGGCACCGGGAGCTGAATCTGTGAAGAATTACCTACCTGTAGAACCCCGCAGTTTCAGAAGCAGGCTGAGTGCCATAGGCAATCTGCTTGTGGCTACTTGTGACCCCCAGCCACGTCAGCCTGCCTTGCATCCTCCTCAGGGTCAATTAGCCTGTCTGAGGCTGTGCTTGCAGGAGTGAAGGATGAGTCTTCTTCCCCCACTGAGGTTCTGATATCAGATACATGTGCAAAGGCAATGTCCTGTCCCACAGGACATTGAATTCCTTTCCTAAATTCACTTTTTAGTAATGCAGCCTTAAGCTTTGACATTTACCCCAGTACACAGAGGAATTTCTCTATAAGCATATTCAGTGTTTTATTAGCAGAAAGCCATAGACAGAAAAAAATCTTCAGTTAAAATTGAGACCTAAACAAAGCTTTATTTCTTTGAAATTTGCTTTTAACTGACTGACAGATTTTAAAAGTAACAACTGTCAGTACTCCCTGTCTTAAAATCACACTGTTTTATTTCAGGCTGCACAGCAAAATTAGTAAGAAAGGACTGCCTGAAGGGAGCAGTAATTATGCTGTATGAGACAGATCAGGCCAGATTTCAAAAACACTGGAAAAGGGCAGAAAAATGTCAGCAGCTATACCTATTGTACAGCATGATGGCCGAAGTTAAACTATCTATTTCTTTGCACTTCAACTGTGTCCCTAAGCTTAAAATGAAAAGGAGTGCTTAATCCTAAGTAAACTGTGTGCCAATTATCCTCAGCATAATTTTTTAGAGTGAGCTTATCCAGTTTGTCTTGCTGTCACTGGAATCACTGTTTATTAACTGCTAGATTAACTTCTGAAAGTGTTGAAAACAAGCTCAAGTATTCTAGAGCAATTAGACATTTTATCTGAGTAAATGATGCCTGACATGGTACCAGCAAAGTATTGAATAATGTGGATAAAATGCTGTGCAATTATAAAAAGTTCATCGTTATAAAATACCAATCAGATTTGCAAAACTGGTTCTTATAAAACTACCAGAAAAGTTTTCAACCTTCTATTTATAAAACACACTATTACTGTATGCCTCAAAATATACATGTCACAGACTCCTAGTCTGCTTTACAGGTACACCTAACATTTCCTGAGTAAAAAACACTCTGATCATCAGGTCTAATGATAAACATTCACCATTCAGATGAAAATTTGCAGTTAAAATCTAAGTCCAACCTGCAATGAAAGCATTATTTTTCTAATTCCAAATATTATTTGGAATTTATGTATTCATGTATAGGTACTTAATTTACTGTATAAATCACTTCAATGTCTAAAGTAATGACAGCCTTTTTCAAGATAGAGTCCCCTTTTACAGAATCACAGAATGAACTAGGTTAGAAAAGACCTTTGAGATCATCAAATCCAACCTATGCCCTAACACCACTTTATCAACTAAACCATGGCAGAACCTCCTAAATAATGTGAAATCTAAATTTGTTTAAGCAAAGTCCATATATAGATGCTTTGGTGAGTTCCTAACTGACATTTTGAAGAGTAAAGTGCTTTGCCAAATCAGAGATGTGAGGCTTCACTCTTCTCCCAGTGAACCTTTTTCTGAGGACATTGCTGGGAGATGATACAGACATATTATTTAGAGTACCTTTGTTTCCATGATGCAAGAAACATTAATCATTTTTTAATATTTGGTGATCTAGGTATTAAATCTTTAGACATGTTTGCACCTGCAGACACAGTGAAGGGTAGATCTAAATAACCTCTGGATTCTTTCTGTGTAAAAGGGTATGCACACCACTGTTTTTGCTTTCCCTGCTTCGTGTCAATCCTGTCCTATCATCAAGTACAAAAGAGAGGTTAGGCTATGGTTTGTCTTGCCCTCTTTGGATGTTTTACTCTTAAAAGACTTTGCTAAGTACAGAATAGGAATAATTGTGAGAACAACACTCCTAAAAGTAGTGGGGACATGGCAGATAGCAGTAAACAACACAAACACACATGCCCATCACACAAACCACAGACTACCTGCCTATTAAGTACTGTTGGGTTTTTTTAATATACTTTTCAGGAACTTGGAAGTGTGTACAGTGTCCTGGCTGCCATTTTAAACGTGGGTAACATTGAATTTTCTGCAGTAGTATCTGAACATATGATTGACAAGAGCAACATTTCCAATCCAGTAGCCCTTGAGAACTGTGAGTGTTTTTTTCTTGATTTAACATTGGTTTTCTTTGGTGTTCTCATAGAAAATTTATTTTATTGTAAGAGAGGTATCAGTGAAAACTGTTTTCACATGGAAATTTTGCAAGAATGATTAAAAACTGAAGATAGATTAATTCTAAGCCCACCTGAATTCAAATGCAAAAAAGAAAAAAAATTTCCATCTTCTGCATCTTATTTGACTAACCAGTTCACTGGCATACAGGAAACATGACTAATAATGCAGATGCCTGAAAAAATCTTTGGATTTTTTCCAAGGTTATTTGAACATTTGATGGAGAACCTCATTAACACATTGAATAGTTTTTTCCCAGTTTCTTTCTCAGCTGCTCATTACTTGTTCCCCACAAGTGCCTGTGGAAATACAGCTCACTAATTCTTTGGAAGGGATGCATTACATCATAAGCTGCTGAGAGGTAGAGGAGGCAAAGGGGCAAAGATTCTCCAGAAATTTGCTACACTTTCTCAGTAATTACACCTGGGAAGATAATGAAGTCTTCACACTATCTTCGTGCATGTTTTCTTGCCATAGAAAAATATTGTGGAGCTGAGAAAGAAGCACCCCTCTTTTGGAGCAAAAGGAGAACAGCAGTGACTTGAATGAGTGGAATATAACTGAGAGGGGTATTCACACCTCACAACTTGGGTACTTCTTACACAGTCACCTTCCAAAATCTGTCTCTGAGCTATGCCTGTGACCTTTCCCAGGTGCATCCCTGCTGTGTATTCAGGCAGATGAACTGCAAGAGGCCCTCACATCTCACTGTGTAGTGACTCGAGGAGAAACAATTATTCGTCCCAACACTGTGGAAAAAGCCACTGATGTCAGAGATGCCATGGCCAAAGCACTGTACGGGCGCCTCTTCAGCTGGATAGTCAATCGCATCAACACTTTACTCAAGCCTGACAAACATTTAAGGTAAAAGGAGATTTTGCAAAATAAAGAGATATTTTTTTTCTGTGGGAATAATATCTGTCTTATACCAGAGCATTTAGTGTAGGCAAGTTCTTTTTCTCTGCTACATTTTTCTTTATGATCCCACCATGTCTAAAATGGTTTGTGCTGTTCATAGTGTAGAGTGAAAATAGAGTAGATATGGCTGGCAATAGCATCTGCTGTTTTTCCTGCTTATCTTTACTCTTTTAACCCTTTCTTTTTCTTTTGTATTTTCAACCTTTTTGACCCTTTTTCTTTTGTATTTTTTTCAGAGTAAACATTTGATATTCATCATGTTGATTACATAGGTTAAATTCTGCTCTTATTTACACTGATGCTGTTGCTTTTGTCACTGTTGTTATAAGCATGATTTCATAAATGTGTGGGAATAGTTTTCAAACACATTTACTCAAGGTATTGTCTACTTTACACTTAGAAGGTGACATTTAAAATGCCATATCAATAACAAAAAGCTTTGGTTTGCAGATCTGGATTTCCTGGTTTTTTTCTTCTTAAACATCAGAGGAGAGCCAAGGTTGCAATCCTAAAATTTGTCTAAATTTTTAAGTATTTGGTTACAGCAGAGCAACAATAAACAGAACTTTGGTCAGTAAGTGATAGGACAAAATCCATGATAGATGGGGCAGCATTTCTAGCCTGTGTGCCTTTCTCACTTGTCTGTTACAGAGCCCTTTTCAAACTGAATACTTACTTATTATGCTGGTGAGAAGGGAGAAAATTCATCCTGAAATGCTCACTGTAAAAAAAAACCCAAACAGCTCTTGTTTGATTTTGTGATAGTACGATAATTTGCGTTTTCTATTTTTATGTAATTAGCTCTGAAAAGGAATGGGGCAGATAAATTTTAGCAGTCTATTCATCAAAAATGTAATTTTGAGACAGATTAAATAGTCCCCAAATTCAGATCCCTCCACAATGAAACACTTCCATTTTTGAGATGGACTTCACAAAGAGGTTTAAGTACTATTCATGAGTGTCTTGAGGCTGATTCTTAATTTCTGATTTCCTAAATATTTATTTAAAAGTGACTACAGATAAATCCTCAAAGAGGTTTTATAGAAAAAATGTGATTTATATTTTACTTGTCTAGAAAAGACACTAATGTCAGCCTCAGTTTGTTATAAAAATATATCCTCTTAATTTTTTGCTTCAGCAAATAAATATTCAAGTTTTTTTCCAGTTGCAGAAGTGATCACATATCTTCAGTATGCCCTACTTAAAATATCAAACCAAAGTTTTTCCAGTACTTCTCTGGAATTTAATTGGTAATTAAAATTCATGCCACATCCCAGTGCATAAAGTAGTTATTCAGCTTCATAAAAGGTCTAGCTAGTCATTCTTTTTACTTTAATGTTAAACTAAGCAATTTTAATTGCTATGAGTAAATAATATGAAGAAATAATACTTAATGACAACAGTCTTTAATTTCAGGATGCTGGTGAGTAAAGCCTGTGTTATTACAAGAGAAACAAGTAAATCTGTTCTTTCTGTACTGTAGTCAGCTTCTTAGAATAATTACTTACAAATATTAGTGTAAGAATAAAATTGTAAATCCCCTATTCACCTATCAGTTGACTTGTTTGTTGTGTGATCCAGTATATATGGTCTGCATTGCAGTAATCTTTGAATTGATCTGCATTTATGTATTTCAAACAAACAATTATTGTCATTTTAAGGTATCTCTGGTTTAGCAAAACTTATCCTGTGTAACTGGTGTGCAGATTTGGCCCATGATTTCCTTTTGTGAAACAGTAATGAAGATAGTTAATGTAAAATAAAGATACAATAATGAAAAGTATATTTCATCTTTGCAGTGAAAATGATGATGGCTTGAATATTGGAATTCTTGACATCTTTGGCTTTGAGAATTTCAAAAAAAATTCTTTTGAACAACTGTGTATCAACATCGCCAATGAACAAATTCAGTTCTACTTCAATCAACATGTCTTTGCCTGGGAGCAGGTATTTGTTGGTTATTTTGATGAAGATTTAGTATTACTGAACATATAAAACTTTGTCTCAAGAAACTGCATTGTTCCTTCTCCATAATAGCTTGTAAATAGCAGATTATAAACAAGATTTTTAAGAATGTTTTCCATGAAGCAGTGCTTGCTATTTGCAAGTAAAATGCCAACATAAAATGCATTAAACTTGAAATTTACAGTAACTAAGCAACATAACACTGTGATAATCTGTGATAATTGATGCAAATGCAATGTTGTTTTCTTGAGGAATAATGAGTTTTGTAATGTATGGTTCTCTAGTAAAAAAGTAAATGAGTGGTAACAAAATTTTGAAAGTGAAGTGTTCATAATAGTTTACTAATAAGCTTAATGAACACTGAAATTCCATTATTAAAAACTGCAAATCTGACAATTATTTTGTTCTTCTTGAGAAACTAGATCATCTAAGCTAAATAATGATGGATTAAATCTGAATAATTTATTTTAAAGCAGAGAAAAGGAATAGCATTGTAAATATAAAAGTTTATGATTTTGAAGAGAGGGGAAAAGCCTCCAAAAAAATCATCTCAACTTTGTAAATAATTCCAGGATAATTAAATTAACCACCTTGAAATCATTATTCAATATTATTATTTGAAGAAATAACCCGTTCAGAGAAAAAAAAGGGTCTTGCTGAAAATTGAAATGTATCAGAATTCTCTATGGCAGACCAGTGAGAATTCAAACCATAGGTGAAATTATACTTTTTCTGTTTTGCTGAAATTATTGCTGTTTATGATATATAGATAAAAATTCTCCTGAATTGTAGTTTTTACAATTGTCAACAGAAACAGAGCATTTTGTCAGTGTTAATCACTGTTTGTTTTAAGGGTGAGACACATACAAGTTTGGAATGTGTCCATGTATGCAGATGTGTCCATGCATGTACATGCATATGTCAGTCTAGAGGTGTATATATTTATGTGTAATATGACTTTTTTTTTTAATGGCTCAATGTTTTATCCTCTTCCCAGTTATTTCAGGAAATGTTGTCTTGCAGTTCTGTATTTTGCAGTTCTGTATCTTGTAGTTGTTTTTATAAATTTATGTGCAAGATTATTGACACAAGTGTTTCCTTGGTTTTAATATCATCTAAAAGCTAGACAAAATTTAACTAGAACTACTGTAATTACTTAGGCATCTTCTTTCCAAAGTACACAAGTTCACAAAAGAATGGCACTTGGCTATTGCTTTTTCTAACAGTTGGGAGATGGAAATAGCACAGACTGTAGCAACAATATTTATTCCTCTCAAACCCAGGCACTGACCAGGTCTCGTGGACTTGTATATGTTTGCTTAAGCGTTCACTGACTTGATCCTCCCATGCTAAGTTTAAGTCTTTCATGCTCCAGACTTTTCCCCTGGTCTCAGGGACCTGGGGTTACCAGTCAGGACCGATGCAAAGAAGGCATTGAATATCTCAGCCTTTTCCAAGTCATCCACAAACTTGTTCAGCAGCAGGATCCCATTCTCTCTAGCTGCCTTTTGTTGCTGAGGGACCAGCCTTGGCTTTCCTAGCCCTGTTCCTGTACACCCAAATATTGTCTTAATGTTCCTTCTCTTTTTTAATTAGAGTCAAGTTCATTGTAATCTGCCTTTGCTTGTTTCTAGGTATCCTGTTACAGAACTTTTTGGCCAGACCTGTATTAATGCAGAGGTTTGTGGTGTCACCTTGTAGTAGGAACAGTTCTCTCTCTTACTTGTGCCTTCCTGCACCATGGTGAGGGTGATTATTCTGCTACTGAGCACATGAGGGGAAAAATTAACTTCTTATTTTGACAATATACAGTTTGCTCGTTTCTCCCTGTAGGAAATTAGTACAACTACAGACTCTATGGAAGGGGAAGGTAATCTTTATTTACAGAATCGCTAGGTACATCAGTTTAAACCAATTTCCATTCTCTCTCTCATAGATTTCATTGACTCACAGATACATAGAATGCACCATGGCATATGTGGGGGGGGGAGGGGGTGTTCAAATGGTCTGGCCAAGAAAATTTGTGAGTGATTTATAGAATAATGGACACCAGCTGGCGAGTCTTCATCATGTCTGTTAGGTTCTTCTTGCTGAAACAGCTTTTGGACATATATTTTACAGCCTTTAGCAATCGTTCTTTGCCTCAAACCCTTATTTACTTCAGCATCTGTAATCTTTAGGCAAGGTCACTATATGGTTTTACTTGTTTAGAATATATACATTTTTTATTCCTAGAGTCCATTTCCTTGGTGGGCTTGTAGAAAATTGTATGTGATGTTCTATAATCTCAGATAAGAAACTCTTTCCTCAGTTTTTTTGCTATGAGCAAATGTTCTTCATTCAAATCACAGGCTATCACACAGCTATTCTTTTAAGACTATTTTTTTCTGGTGCTTATATGCCCATTCCCATTCCCATTTCATTTATACCAGTCCTAATATTTCTGTTACAAGTGTCCACATCCAGCCTGAAATACCAACCAAGTGACTGTCTACCTTAATTTACATCAAACCACTACATCAGATTATATCAAACTTCATTATATTCTCTTGTAGCAGTCTCCAAAGATATTACTACAGCAGTGCAGAAGGAGTTATATGGATTAAGTTCTTGTTAGTGTGGCTGTAAATCTCCCCCTTACAGAGATGGGAAATGAGAAACATGTTATTCTGCATTACAACCCAATGGCACAGAATGATTTGTGGTATGATTCATAGTCATTATAAGACATCACTTTTCACTTATTTATTACATGGTTGTCACAGTTTTACATCACAAAAACAGCCTTTGAGAAAGCAGGTGGCTTCAGAATCTTTTATGTTCACTGTAAGGACTCTCCTGTGTTGACACCAGTAATGTACTTTAATTGTAAATTAAAATAAAAAGAGTCACTGATGTAAAAAAAAACATTAGGATGACTTCTGCCCTTTGCTGGTGTAGCTGCCTGAGTTTACAACTGACTTTATATGCAAGGGTTTGTGTCTTAGGCTCTAAAAGACTCTAAAAAGGCTCTAAAAGGCTCTAAAAGTTATGCTTACAAGAAGGCTGATGGCAGAAGTCACCATTTGTGCTGAGTTTCCATTAGCCCTGAATGTTGTGCTGCTGGAGCTATCCTGTCACTGGGGACCCAGGCTGGTGTCCCTTCACAGCCCTGTGCAGTGCCAGACAGGCATCTCAGAGTGCCCTGTGCTACCTCAGAAATCCATAACACAACACTGCATTGAACCCTGTAGATCTACCCAAGGAAGACTAAAGAATTTAAATTCTTTTACACTTCCCTCAAGAGATGTAAAATGTACAGATACATTGCCTTTTTATCCCTGTTTATGTACACATATCACATGCAATTTGATGAAATTTGGCATATCTAGTGGGAAGTTGAGGCCTAAATCAGTTGATAATACTTTAGTTTGTCATTAACCCATGTTCACCTAGTATGTAGTGATTATGTCTTCAGAGAAGGTGAATCTGAAGAATATTTTGGCAACTTGACCAATGAAGCCAAGTAGTAAATATGCTCATAAGGTTGAATTGTACTTTCAGTGTTGCAGGTGACATTGTTTTATCATTGTCAGTGGTCTCCTTTTTGTATCTGAATCTGAAAAGTGTTCACAGTTTTGCTTTCCTTGGAAGTGTGGCCTACAAAAAAAAAAAAAAAAGGCCACAGTAGTGACACAGGTAGAAAAAAGGAAGAGTGGTATTATCACAACCTGAGACTCAGGGAGCCAGCTAGAGTAGAGTGTCTGTGAGCCAACATGGAGAACTCCAGTCAAAATTAGGAGAACTTATTCTTTATTGTTGACTTAATGTTTGCATTTAAGAATAAATGTTTTTAGGCCTGAATGCAATATCCTTTCACTAATTTAACAGAAAGACTGAAGTGAGTATATAGTTTAAGATAAAGATAGTAGATTGCCAGTAGTCAGTGGAGACAAATAGATATATCCCTATCTCTACTGACTGGGGAGACAATGTGGCCTCTCAACTTAGTCACTGCTTTTATTTTTGCTAGCACAAGGGAGTTTTTTGGTTAATATAAAGCAAAGCAGAACTTTTGGACCTTCAGTCCTGTCCTTTAAGGTTTTCCTCTTACATATTAGATACTGAGGTAAGTTAATTTCTGTCAGCTCCGTGATCCACAGGTCATATTGTCCAGCAAGACAGCCTTCCCATTCCTTTCTCATTTGTCATTCCCCCATAAGAAGTAAAAGGTGTAATGGCAGATAGCTTTTGGGAAGTAGCTAGTTTGCTGTCAGTTGGGAGGATGATACTTTTGCATTAAATGTATGCAATGTTTATTTTACATTCTCGTGACAATTTAATCTTCTAGTTTCAGCTGGTTCCTTCTGAATAAGTTTCTGGTGTCCCCATTTAAACCAAAGTGTCATCATAAAATGTACTCAGCAAAATGGCATTACTTTATTAAATGTGAAGACCATTTCCTTATGCATTTAGTAATTGTTTTGTTACTACTGAAACCAGGTGGTACAAGCTAATGTTACATAGTTTTGATCATAGGCAAGATAGCACGTAATACTAAAATGAGATGGGAGCCCAGTTAATAATGTAACTCAATTATTCCTTTTGACATCCCATCCACAGGAATACTTTCTAATGGATTATGCTTTAGAATTTCAAGAAGTAGCTTTTTTGCAGAGCTTTCTTGTCATAAAACATCACAGGGGACTACAAAATCCTGTAGCTGATTCATCTTATTAATTCAAATAAGACCTATTTCATTACAGTTTTATGATGTCCATCATTAAAGATTTTATACTTGCTGCTTGTATCCTAATATGCGATTGAAACCAGCACTGCATCAGAAAATGTAGTACAGTATCATTTCTGAGTCATCTGTCACACTGGTGCCTGGCTTGGTCATCAGCTGTCCTTCAGGAGCCCGTGGGAAGTGATGGAGTGAATTCCTTCATATCCTGCTGGGGGAATGGCAGCATTGCCAAAACTGCAGGGCTGACACTCGTTCAGCTGTCGAGACACAAAGGACACAAACGGAGTGGTCACATACACGGCAGCTTGGAGGTCAGGCCCTGGGTGCTGCCTGGGCAGGGAGGGGAGCAGATGTTGCTCTTGTAGCATAGTTGTACTGCGGCTAAGAGTTCCTTTCTTTTTCAAGGAGAGCACTTCTATCAGCTCTCTAAACCCGCCTCTATCACAAGCATTTGAAGTTGGAAAAAGTTTATGATCAGACGGGTTGGTTGTGAGGGCTTGTTTGAGGATGTCCAAGTGTCACAGAAACACTCCTCTGATAGATCCATCCTTCCTTCCCCTTTCCCCCTTGATAAGAGTGCTGTAGATAATCCTAAGCAGTAACAGCTGGTTCCATGAACACCTGTGTGTCAGTGCAGCTGTAGCCCTCAGTTAAACTGCCCTTACTCCCATGTTATCTCTGGGAGATAACACTGGCTTTTTTCCTTTCTGCCACCAGCTCCTACAGGTATATAATTAACTTCTCACCTATATCAGTGATACATTTATTACTCTCCTGTCTTGTCCTGCTACTCAGGTCATTGATTAAAATAAAAAGCAAAACTCCACCTGTCCACTGCTTCAGGGGAGACACGAATGAGGTTAATGTTACTTGTCTCAAATGAGGAGCCCTCTTGGGGCTGTAGGCGAGATGCTTACTGATTACACCCTAGTATAGCATATAAACTGAATTATAACCTATCCTTAGTGTGAAGAATGTCCTGGGAAATTACGTCAGTCTAGATACTGGAAGGGTTTAGGTGTATATTTCGTGTCTTCTTTCAAATGGATCAGCAGATTTTTATTTGTGCCTTACCAGTCTTATTGATTTTATGCCTTTTGCTGTTTCTCTGAGATTAAGAGGTATAAAACAGGTGCTTTTCTGTGTATATGAAAATGAACTTCTTTTTTAAATGCTCAGTGTGTTGCCTTCACTCATTCAGACTCAAGTGAATGACACATAAGGAGAGGTCTTCCAAGGTCAGAGGTCTGTGAACTCATTAACGTTAGCCATCATTCATTTTTGTGACACTCTTCTCACAATGAATTCGGATGACAAAACTGTGGTGTTAAGACCATACATGAATACAACACTTATAAAGTCCTATCCTTTGGCATGGGGTTGATTTTTAAAGTAGATCAAAAACTCTTGTGTTTCACAGTACAGCCTGCACAGGACTGAAGGCAGCCCTGGCACAAACAGGAGCATTGTGTAGGAGATAATTGCTATTGCTTTACCTAATGCAAGCAAAAATAATGGGGAGTGGCAGTCCCTAGAGCAACCTTCTCTTGGTAAATCTACAGCTGTTCTCTGCCTTGCTGAAGGATTAAGGAAGGTCATTCTTGTGTTCTCTGGCTATAATTTAAATTATATTCAAGACAAAACCATCGCAACACACTGTAGACGCATTTGTTATTTGTTTTTTCTTAGTCTGGGAGGAATCCAGATATATTTGAAGTCTTCAGGAGAAAACCAGCCAGACTAAACCAAACAAAAAAAGCAAACTGTTTGAAAGCAAACAGCTTTTCTGATGTTTTTAAATCTTGGGAAATACCTTTCCATAGTTCCTTAGAAGGAGTGAAAATGTGTTAGAGACAAATCTGAGGCAATTTATTTAATTCCTAGGAAGTATGTACACAATGCTTTAATTCTTAGAAAGTATGTGCACCTTTCTTCTCCACATAAGAATTTTTCCAGGTGTTTGAGGAGGGTGATCAAACAAGTAAAGCCACTGGAACCTGTAGTCACATATGTAAATCTTAGCAATAACTTAGATCTGAGCAATGAATTGGGAATGTAAGTATATCTCTGAATGGTTAAGAAATTTTCTACATTTCAGACCAGGGAAATAAATAGACCCTTAGGTCTCTATTTGCAAACAATATACTTTATCTTCTTCAACTCTGTTTCTTTAATTCTTGCTATTCCTGTAAAGTATTTTACTTTACCAAATATACCATAGGAGTATTGAACTTACATATTCAAAACCAAAATCCCAGCTGACATTTGTTTCTGCAAACTTTGATGTCTTTAGCCCTGAGGCATATTTTCTCAATGTAGTTTTAATTTGCTACAGTTGACAGTTTGTGAATTATTTCCTGAAGTGGTTCTGTATACACAGACAACGCATGCCTTCTGTTTCTTGCTGCAGAATGAATACCTTTACGAAGGTGTTGATGCAAGAGTTATAGAATATGAGGATAACAGGCCCCTCCTAGATATGTTCCTGCAGAAACCAATGGGTTTATTGTCTCTCCTGGATGAGGAAAGTCGATTTCCACAAGCAACAGATCAGACACTTGTAGGTAAGTATATGGTTATTTCACAGTTTTACAGCTTGTCTTCTGTTCCATTTCTGTTTGGCATGTAAAGTTCAGGCTACATGCTAGTTATGCTTTTAGTGAGCCTCTATTTCAGTGTCACAGTGTGTTTGAAGGAGACATGCATGCTGGGATGGTTGTGTCTTTGAAGTTCCCAGAGAAACATCAAGACTACAAATGAACCTAAGCTGCTGATCCAAGTTTCAAGTTCTTCCGCCTTCAGGAATTTTTTGCTGCAGAGCATGAAAAGTAAAGATCAAACTGAGTTAAAACTCTAGGTTCATAGACCAAGAACGCTTCACCAAGTTTTGTCATGTTCAGCTCTGAGATTTTTTTATGAGCAGTATCTGAGCAAGAAGTTTAATACTCTTTAAGAGTAATGACTGCAAACATGCTTCAGTGCTTTTAACAAATTATGCTTTCTGGGTGTTTTTCTATTCACAAATTAAAATACCTAACATCATTGTAATTCAGATCCTGAATATTTCAGTGCTGTTGAGTAGCTGCAATTACCATTGACTTCATTATTTCAGTGGTATTTCTGTGCAGATAAATCCTGGTTTTATTCATTTTTGTATGTGCGAAGTGTCAGATTAGAGTTTTAACCAACATCTAATCAGAAAACCTAATAATATCCAGTTACAATGCCCATGTTAAAGCAATTATATGAGCTTGTTGTCCTTTTATCCTCATGCTTTGTAGTCTACAGTATGGAAGCATTCAATAAATCAGCAAATGTTTCCTCACAACTCCTCAAGGAACCCTCAGGAAAGATTTCTGCATTGTTTCATATTTTTAGATCAAAATCTTGGGAAGGCAAGTCCTGGAAGTGTTCAAAATACATGTGGATGTGGCACCTGGGGACATGGCTTAGTGGTGAACAGAGTCATGCTGGGTTAAGGGGACTAAATGATCCTAGATATCTTTTCCCACCTTAATGATTCCATGATTCCATGATTTTCTGAGGTCACACATTAAAAAATTGGAACAAAATAAGTAACTTGTCCAAGAGCTCCAGTATTCTCTATCCAGTGTCTTTTGTAACAAGACCATTATGGTATCTCTGTCCTTGAAAACATCAGTGTCTGTTTTGTGCCTCTACATTGGCTGAAAAGTCAGGAAATACCCTTGGAGGGATACAGCTTCAGAAAAGAATGATTATACAGTAACTCCAGTAAGATAAGCTATGTGTTTCCTTTCAGAAAAATTTGAAGATAATTTGAAATCAAAATATTTTTGGAGACCCAAAAGAGTAGATCTAACCTTTGGAATTTACCATTATGCAGGAAAGGTAAGACACCTGATGATGTTAGTTGGGGATTGTGGAATGGTAGGGCTGGAAGGAACTAGAAAAGGTCATCTGGGTTGGTTCTCAACAGTCATCTCTTCAGACCAGACATGGGAGTGTTGGTAGTGCCTTACACATCAAAAGTAAATTGAAAAGTTATTATCCCTCATTAAAAAACAAAAAACAATAGCAAGAGTGTATTTTTCTTAAATGTCCCCAGGTAAATTAACTGACTGTATTATAGAAGACCCAAAACATAACTGGTATGTAATGCAACTCAGTGCTCTTCCCCTCAGTTCCTCAAAGTCCTGCACCATGCCTGTTCCCACTTTTTCTAACCAGGACACAGCTCCATTGTTTCTCCTCCTACACACCATCAGCCTCTCTTAGTTCTGTACTTTGTCATCAGCCAGTCAGAGAGTGCAGGCCCTGCTTCCTCCTTCAGCGAGCAGCATCCTTTCTTTCCATACAGTGTGGCTGGCTGCACGTGCTGTGCAAACACAGGAGGAGCTGCTGTTATGCTGCAGCAGGATGACACTGGTCAGCTGAACCTTCTCTTGGAAAAGCAGGAGCTCCCACCTCCTTCTGGGCTCTTTTAAAGGGTACAGAGTGAGCACTGATGTCTCACATGGGAAATCATGTTGGGTCTGTGCAGTGCTGGAGCAGCTGGCCTGTGAAGGGACAAATACTGCCCATCAGCTGATGGGAAATACCTTACCCCTTATGTAAGACAGCCTGCTACAAAGAGCCTCTTGTTACTCCTCTGAACCTCATCTTCAGCTGAGATGCACTTCAGCAGCATCACATAACTCACTGCAAGGAGTGGAAAGCCAGGTCTTCGTCTATCATTCCTGTTAACAGCCACTGCAGATGGGAAATTACACCAGTGCCCCATCAGTGTTCAACAAATTCTTTCATTAGGACGTTTATTCTGCTGTCTAACTTATATCTCCATTCTGCCATGTAAATTCATTACCCCTTGTCCAGTTTACTGTGGAACTGGAGAACTATTTATTTCCTCTTTCTTTACAAGTCTTTTTCATCATTTAAGACTGTTGCTGAGTTGTGTTGTGATATGTTTTTCTAAATTATGTGTCCCAGTATCTTCTACCCTTTTTGACAGGTCAAGTTTTCTTAGACCATTGAGATAGAACCCTGAAGTTACATTTTGAATTAGGTACACCATTCTTGGAATTTTTAGAGAGATTTCAGTTGCCAATATGCAGTTTGTGATTCTGCAAACTTCCTCTACAATTAAAATAGAGATCCCTAGGAAGAGTGGTAAATCCTGGGTCTAGTACAGCATAATATGAATAGCAGAGAAAGATTGTACACTTATATGGGTAATCCTGTGTGATGTGGTTGAAATCAAGTGCATTGTTAATTGTGCATTAGCACATGTACAGGTGTAAAGGAGGACAGCAATGCACTTGTCCTGGTCATAGATCCATACAGGTTAAAACTACTACTTGTATTGGGAAAAATAAATGTCTCAAGTTACTTTGGAATGATATATTTTCTTTTAGTGATTTGCATCATATCTCAGTATTGAAAAGGTGGAATGTTCAATGATTTTTAAAAAAAGACTAGAAGTGAGAGTGAGCCTGATGGCTGAAAAACTATTTGTGTATCTTGATACAGTAAAAGCTCTATTCCAGAAAGCTTAAATTTACAATTACTTTTCAAAATCCAAGCAGATGCATAAATGCACTTTTTAAACAGGTTCTATATAATGCAAGTGGATTCCTAGCCAAAAATAGAGATACTCTACCAGCTGATATTGTGCTGCTACTGCGATCATCTGAAAACAACCTGACGCGACAGCTGGTAACTCACCCTCTCACAAAAACAGGTATTGCTGTTGTGGGGATCTTCTTAATTTTCTCCAGCCTTTGTGATGACCACTCCTAGGTTTCATATGACCACTTATTGATGACATTATACAATTTGTGGCTTCACTTTCCAATCATGGAATCTATGCTGAATGGAGCCACAGCTATATCAAGCTTCAGGGGAAGGATTGGTCTGGTCAGGTGCCAAGGAAGTGGTAGAGACTTTTTTCAGGGTTCTATCTTCAGGGCAGGGGATCAAGACAGGGAATGGAGTGCATCTCTTCATTTGAGGACTGAACAGGAATGATCAGGTAAGTCACTGGCCTGTTTCAGACAGGACATATATAAATTGCCTCAAGCAATTTATCTCTAAGTGGTAGAGAACAAAGGTTGGGGCTCCTAACATCTGCTGCAAAGATATTTAATCTTAGAGTTCTTTACAATAGATAACTGATGGAGTCCTTGTAGTAAGCTCTTCCTCAAGAAATTCATAAGTAGAGGCAGAAGAATAAAACTGTCTCTGCAGAAATTACTCCTAAATTGCTCCTTATTTGAACTATGTCCTTGCAAAGTGTCCTACCTTCCACTGCAGGATGATGGGTAAGTCTCCTTACAACCAGTTTGTTATTGTGTTGTAGTACTCCCTGTGTGATGGCATTGATACCATACAGTAAGTACTTTACAACATTACTTTCTCGTACAACTGTGTGGGAGACATATTTCTAACAGAACAGAAAAGCTAAATTGGAAGAGCCTAATGGAAATGAAAATGTTATCATAACTTACAGAAGCTGAGGTTTTGGCAAGGCTTTTATTCTTCACAAAGGGAGCTTTGCTAATAGAATGCAAAATTTGGTCTTGGAATTTTATTTTAAGTGAGTCTTCCTGGGAAAGCACAGAGCTCAATGCACTTGCCTGACCTTTTTGACTTGATGATATCTGCTAATATACTAAACTGTAATTTCCATAGAGTCCAAGTAAGCATCCAAATGGTTCCAAGAACTGATCCTAAGTCTTAATGTTTTGCAAGATAACTCTGAAGGCTGTTTTAGTCTTCGTGTTAAATATTGTGAAGCACTGCATGCAGCATTTCAAAGCTGACTCAAACCATCCAGCTATAGCCAACTAAAAGTTAGGTTTCTGATCTGTGTTATTTATCTAGAATCAGAGGTTTACTCTGATTGTAGAGGTTTACTCAAAGTCCAACCCATCTTGCCTGTCCCAGGTGTTTCTCTTGGGATGGGAAAAATCTCCTCTGAAGGTGTCTCTCTCCACTGAATACAGCAGGGATCCTGTAGACACCTCACTTTCAGATAGCTAAAGTTAGCTGTGTGTAATCTTCTCTTTTTCCTTCCCACCCTGTGATATTCAGCTGAGCCTCAGAGAGGTTTAGGCCTTGATATCATCACATAATACCAGCTGCATGATCATGATACGTATTTTCAGCTGTTATTCCAACTCTTATCCACCTCTTCCTGATAGTAGCTGAGCACAGAGAGATAGGCTCTCCCAGTGGACAGGGAGATCCCAGAGGTGCTATGTAATTAGCAGAAGCAGTGACAGCACGCAGCAATGGTTAGAGTTTATCAACACAGAGAGACATGATGGAAAGCTCAGCAGAATTTTCATTTTTCCTTCAAAAGACCTATGTAAAGCATGCCAATGCACCCAGTCCTTCAAAGTCATCATAATGAAGGTATTTCTTGACTTAGAATTCCAGAGTTAGAGCCTTAAAATGTTGTCTGTGCTAGTAAACCAAACAGAGCCAGTCAACAGTATCTAAAACATTCCTACAGGGCTGCTCATTCTGATTAATGGTTAGAATGCTTCCCTGGGACAGTTTTGGTCCATATCAGCTAGTAGCCTCCCAGGAATACCCAGCCACACTTCAGGGAAAGGACAGGCCAGTGATGGTTTCCAGCAAGCTCTGTGGAAGATACAAACTTATTTTTACCAGGGCATTGAAAGAGTAGTGAAGAGTAGAGTTTAGGTGTATAATCTTGAGTCATGCCATGTCACTTTTCCTCAGGGCCAGAGGCTATTTCTGTTTAACTAATATGTAGCATTAGAACTAGTATAGTGCAATAACATTCTTAGGGTAAAACCACGTGGATGCTCTAAGATGTATCTATCTTACCTTCTACAGCAGTCTGTTAATTTTTTTTCTCTAGTAGATGATGTATGAGCTGAAGGAGAAAAAAATCATCATGTTCTGTGGTCATGCAACTTCTTCAGAGCTCCCAAGGGTTAAAAGGGGAAATGAAGACACACTCTAAAAAAGCCAATGACCTTTATAATCATGTAGTTGCACTGGGGGCATAAATAAGGTGGTTCAGCATTGTTCTTAGTTTAGATGAGATGTAAGTTACTTTCTTTCATCTTCCCATAGGTAACCTGGCACACACCAAAAGCAAAACTACAATCAGTTACCAAATGTGGACCTCCCAAAAATCAATCAGTCATACAAAGGTAGGAAAACTGATTTTTTGATTCTGCGTTGAAGCCTAACTTAAACTAGAAAGGCAGTAGTTGTTTTGGTATTGAAAGTAAGCAAGTAACCCCTTCCTTGGTTTTTCTCCCTCTCCTATTTTCTTTTCTGTTTAGCTGGATATCTTTGTGTTGTGCAATTCATATTCCTTCCGTGAGGTAAAAACCTAACATTTCCCTTCTTTCTGGCTATAGTTTTATAACAACTTCAGGGGAAAAAAATACTATTTCCCAGCTATATTGTAGCAAAAACAGAAATTAAAATATTGGTGTGAAATATAGCCATGTTCCTTAGAGAACTATCCAATTAGCAGTGATGATGAAATAACAGACAGGACCTCAGACATTGTCTGGTTATTTGTGGCTGTTACTAGATGCTCTGTTACCAACTTGTGCCCTTTGTGTGAATATTTGTGTATTGTGTAGCAAAGTATTGGTGTAACTGGTTTGTGCTAGTGATCATGCTGTGACTTTTGCTGTTTAGAATACTTTCAAAATTATTTATGTTCTCTGAGGGGTGCTTTCTTGGGGCAATGGAAAGGGCACTACAGGCTAACTAGAGATAAAAAGTGTAATTTTTTTTTATTCATCTTTATAGAATGAAGCAGGAGATACTGGACATCATCCAAGAGAGACAACCAGCATGAAAACACAGACAGTTGCTTCTTATTTTAGAGTAAGATATGAGATCTTTTAATATTTCTAGAGTACAACAAATGTGTATTCTTTTACTTTTTGAAACGCACCTATTGAGTTAGAGTCAGTAGTGATCTATTTAGAGCTTGTGAACTGCATATATGGTGCAGCAGTCTGTGCAGTACAAATATCTCAAGGAGACTGTGATTGTGTTTCTTCTTTAACTGTACTTGATTACACAGCCACGTTGCTGTCATGATGATGTATGATGATCAATATTAATCTTTCACTTGCTTGTTTTTCCACCAAAGAAGATAAAGGGAGATTGGACATTAGTGGTGTAGCATTTCTTTAAGAGTTTAAGAAGGAGGGGAAAGTTAATTGGAAGCAGGAGCTCCAGAGAAAGTTCTTGATCGTCACTTCACAGAGGCCCAGAATTCATCCTCATGGCTCCTTCAGCAGTGCTCTGGACCTTCGCAAGCATTGGCTGTGCTGCTCGTCCTAAAATAGCAAAGAGCAGTGAAGAGCATCCTTTCCTCTGAAGTGGCACATAGAGTCATAGAGTTGGTTCTGCTCTGAATTTCCAGCTCTTGTTTAGTCATCTCTCCCAGCAAACCATAAAGTGGCAGAGGGGATGTTCATGATGAATTGAGCACACAGCTCTAAGGAATACCAAGTTTGCTGATGACACTAAATTGGGAGGAGCTTTCAACTCTCTTGAGAGCAGAGAGGCTCTGCAGAGAGACCTCAACAAATCAGAGGGCCGACAATCACCAACCATATGACATTTCAGAAAGACAAGTGGCAAATTCTGCACGTGGGATGGGGCAACCCTGGTTGTTTGTAGAGACTGGGCAATGAGAGGCTGGAGAGCAGTGCCACAGAAAGGGACCTGGGGATCCTGGTCCATGACCAAATTGAACATGAGCCAGCAGTGCCCTGGCAGCCAGGAGGGTCAACCCTGTCCTGGGGACATCAGGCACAGCTGGGCAAGAGAGGGGATTGTCCTGCTCTGCTCTGCTCTGGGGCAGCCTCACCTCGAGTGCTGGGGGCAGTTCTGGGTGCCACAGTGTAAGAAGGACCTTGAACTGCAGAAGAGCATCCAAAGGAGAGCCATGAGGATGGTGAAGGGTATGGAGGGGAGCTGTGTGAGAAGCAGCTGCAGTCACTTGGTCTGTCCAGCCTGGAGAAGAGGAGACTGAGGGGAGACCTCATGGTGACCTTCAACAACCTCACAATAGGAACAGGAGTGGCAGACACTGATCTCTTCACCCTCATGACCAGTGACAGGACGTAAGGGAAGGGCACAAAGCTGAGTCAGGGGAGGTTTATGTTGCATATCAGGAAAAGGTTCTTCACCCAGAGGGTGGCTGGGCCCTGGAATTGGGTCTCCAGGGAAATGGTCACAGCCCCAAGCCTGACAGAGTACCAGGAGCATTTGGGCAATACTCTGAGGCACATGGTGTGATTCTTGGGGTGTCCTGCACAGGGCCGGGAGTTGGACTTCATGATCCTGATGAGTTCCTTCCAAGTCACTATATTCTATGATTTTATGACCTGTAAGAGTTCATTTACATCTCTGCCAGAACAATGAGGAGCCAGATCTCTCTTTTTTAGATACAGTTGTACAGCTTTGTGGACTGTGAAGGATAATTTCAGTTTAGGTATCATGGTGGTCCAAAGCTATATACTGTTTGAATATTCTAAATGAAAAAAATATTGAATCTCATTCAAATTAATGTCTCTAGTTCAGTGCATTATCAGCACTTCTAGCATCAGAGGCTGCAAATTAGTTAATTATGTTTACACTTTTCTGATACTATTTCTGTAGTGGAAATCCTTGCTCAGATCATGATAGCTAATGCTCTTAAATGAAAATGCACCTTCAGCCCCAGTGGTTTACTCATACACAGAAATCCATGGGTGACTGAGAAAAGCATATGCCACCTCAGACTGCATGGAAAAAAAGATATCCATTAGTGTGTCCTACTTGTTCATGTTCAGTTGGCACACTGGTGATGGAACTAATTAAGCACTTTGCTGCATGGTGCAGCTTCTGTCCAGAATGGAATTGCACATTTTAATAGGAAACATATGGCTCTTGACGTCCTACACTGGTTTCATGGAACCAACCTACTGCTGAGCTGCATTACCTCCTGGCTGCCTCTTTCTGTTGAGTCAGGTTGAATCTTGAGGATTGAGCCTCTTCATTTGTGTTTTAATAAGATTCTCCTATGAAGCAATTTTTCAAAACACCAATCAAGGTTGTTTACAGTCAGATTCCCCTCAGCTGGCATGAGGAGCTACAGGCTGCATCCCCTCTGCTAGTCTAGTACTCTGGTGAGGTGGGAAAAATGCAGCTATGGAATTGTGATCTTCTAGCTTTGCCCTCCTTGGAAGCTGCCTCTTGGCAGGGCAGATATGGTATCACCATCAGTCTGTATAATGAACAGGACACACCAAGGTCAGAGAGGTTCAACCAGCCCTTCTTCTGGGGTAGCCTTAGTTTCCTCCAGTCTAATGAAGGAATTGAAATATTTACTGGCTTGTTGCTGTTCCACTTCCCATGCATAGATGGATGATTTGCTCTCTGGGTTAACAAGGGTCTTCAAATAGGTGACAACAATAAAAAGAAAAATGGCTGTAATTACCTAACAAAGCTCCAAGATAAGTAAGTAAATATAAGGAGTGTAAGTATTCTGTCATATGTTGGACATTATAGAAATCTGTGAGAATGTCTTGGATGAAATTTGGTACATTTATTTGGAATCAAAGTAGTATACACTAATAGCTTAGAAAAGCTAGAATTGTTTTTGGGTCATTTACTTCACCTACTCCTAAAGTACCAGCTTAATGAAATGTAAATGGTTTTGGACATGATTCAGATCACGTGAAATAAAATTTTTACTACACGTGGACCTACATACAAGTTTCATAAGTATCCTGGTGACAGATCTCATTACTTTTTTGCAGTATTCTCTGATGGATTTGTTATCCAAAATGGTCGTTGGCCAGCCTCATTTTGTCAGGTGCATCAAGCCAAACAACGACCGGCAGGCAAACAAGTTTGACAAAGAAAAAGTGTTGGTTCAGCTGCGTTACACGGGAATTCTGGAGACAGCACGCATTCGGAGACAGGGTTATTCACATCGTATACTCTTCGCTAACTTCATAAAACGGTAACATCGACCTGAATAAGCTCTTTTCTCTCCTACAATTGCCATCCAGTGCTTGTTAAGCACCAGCAGTCTTTGAAAAAAAATACAAAGACATTTCTTATGACAAAAAAGGTTATAGACTAGATGGCCAAGAGTAGTTCAGGCACAAAAATAGTGACCTGTTTACAATGGGTGGGGAAAGATGATGAATCTCAAAATGATTTTTCAGGCTCTCTGACCATTTGGTCAAAACTTTACTTGCTTATACTCTGCAAGTTTCTTCAAGGACTTGAGTTTTAGAAATGTATTACTTCAAATTAAAGCCAAGAATTTTCAGCCACAGCATCCAAGGAACACCATGGTTCCTCTAGCTCCCACCCTTCAGCACTGTGTAGCATCTGCTTGTGCAGGGTAGATGATTATCTGGGATTCCTAGTCTAGGGCTGAAAAGTTCATTGAGTGCATAGTGTTGTTTAAAACAAAATTCCTAGGTATTAGTCACTTGTTAAGAAGCAGAGTAATGAACTCATTGTGGTTTTATTATTCCTTTAACTACCTTCCTCCTCCATCCCACTTCTCTCTGACAAATAAAGGCCCTGAGTATTTGCCTCAATCAGAACAGAGGTGTGTGAAATGGAGATCAAAACTGGGAAGAACCAAGCACCACCTATTCAGACAGAAACACTTAAATAATAGTGCACTAGAAACAGAGAGCTAACAGCAGAGTGCTGCAGGTGCATGAAATGAGAGGAGAACATCAAAGGGATGTTTTTATAGCCCTGTTTCTTGGAAAAAAAATCCTGAAACTGTTGCTGTTTTGGAAGAAAACAGCTTTTGGAAGAGTGCAGCACAGGAAAAGATAGTTATCACTATAAGATGTGCTGTAGCTTTTGGTGACAGCCTTTTATGAAAAAAAATAAAAAACCAAACCAAACTTAACTGTTCAGGTAAAATAAATAAAAGCAGTAAACATAATGGGGTAGCTCTCTAGAGAGCATGCCCCTGATTACAGTGAGGCTGTGCAGATCTCTGGCACTGAGGACGTGACCCTGAAAGGAGAAAAGATTTTTATTGAATTTATGTCTTATTTTGGGTTTGGATCTTTTTAGTAGTTCAGAGTTACAGGTAGACCTGAGATAATGGCACCATTATTTGGTTATAATGAAAATAAGCCAATTAACTGTGTTTTACAAAAAGAAAAAAAAAAAAAGAGAACTGTAGGTGATAATGAAAAAATCAACATTATCTCTTTTTTTATTATTCCATGAGCAAACTGTTACCATTATTTAAAGCTGGCAAACCCAGGCTTTGTCTTTAAAGGCTGAATAGCAAGAAAGAAAGAAAGCAGAATGTACTGTCAGGAAACACACATAATTCATGTAATTTTCTTAAATTCAAAAGACCCAAGACAGATATGGTTCATTTTGTTATAGAGCATTTTGGAAAGTCCTGGAACAAACAAGTATTTTCTACCCAACAGCTGAGCTGGTGTATCACAGGTAATTTTTATAAGTGATCATCATGGCCTCTTTTCCTAGTCAGAATTAATTCTGAGTAATGAGTTTGCCAGATTAAATGCTTACAGATGATGTATCACAATGGCACTTACATGTTCCTAAAGGATCTGCAAAACTGATTCCAAGGAGCTAGCAAGGGCTGGGATGCATCTCAGATCATATTAAGTATCTCAAAGGTAGATGGTCTAGCACCATGAGATAAGATAGGAAATTTTTGTGGCATTTCTAAATATGAAATAATTTAATTTAGGCAGAAAAGCTTTTAAAATATTTTTATTTTTATATTGCCACTGAAACCACTTTCACAGGATGTAGTGAGCAGGAAAGAAATGGTGCACTCCTTGAGTTGAATTCTTTTTAACAGCCTTCTGGTATAGAATTAAAAAACCCTCCAGAGTGTGCAATATGTCACTCATCCACTTTTGATTGAGTTTCTTAGTACTGTGTATAAATAACAGCACTTTCTTTCATATGCTGTTTTGGTTTTTTCAGTGCTGCGTTTTCTTTCATGCAATTGTTTTTATTACTTAAAAGAATGGTTCAAATGTATTTGCATGTATTACCCTCCATTAATCAAATAAAGAATCATTCATTTGTCTTTAGGTATTACCTCATCTGTTACAAAACAAATGATGATCCTCCAGTCAGCCCGGAGACCTGTGCTGCCATCTTGGAAAAAGCCCACCTTGACAACTGGGTTCTTGGAAAAACTAAAGTAATTTTCTAATATACTATATCTTCATCATTCTAGTATGCCACTGTTAACACATTAAACAATTTGTTTTCTCACCCATTTGGAGTAGCTCTTGGTCTGTACTCTTTTTAAAAAGCAAAGTCTTACTATACACCAGGAATGTGTTGGCGATCCTTGTGCTGGACTCATTTTTCAGGACCTATGTGAGTTTCATGCTTGATAAAATCAATTTAGTAAATAAACAGTGTTTTAGGATTAAAATTAGGAAACAGAGAAATTGAAGGTTCCAGATTTGGATCACATTTATGTAACGTACTTTAGATTTGTGAGCTAAACAAAACTGTCAGTCCTGTAGTTTTGAAAACAGATTTACAGTTACAGACTGAAGGTTTGCACTGGAACTTTAAAAAATCTTGCCATAAAAAAAAAATAATAAGCAGGAACTGACTAAAGATGCTGAAGAGAAGAGTAAGGTAAACTAATATCCCAAGCAATGAAAATGCTACATCTAAAAATGATCCTTTAGGTACTACCACTGAAGGGTCTGTTCATCATTTGAAACCAGCTTGAAACTCTTGTTGATGTTAAACAGATTGAGTGAATAAAGGGCTGGGAAGATAACTAAAACTTTTGTTTGTTTCTCTTTTTAAGGTATTCCTCAAATACTATCATGTGGAGCAGCTCAATTTAATGCGGAAGGAGACAGTTGACATGATTATTTTGATTCAAGCTTATGTCAGAGGGTGGCTGGGTTCGAGGAGATACAAAAAGATAAAGGAACAAAGGGAACAAAGTGCTATTAAAATACAGTCAGGTAATAGTTTTAAAACATTTAACATTTTGCTTAAAGCTAGTGCATGTATACAGTTGACAGATGAATGTGTGTACTGGATGTGGATTTTGCTCTTTTCCTGTTGTTACATTTGATAAAATATCTTATACTTGGTCATATCTGTTCTTATGAAGAAAAATTTCTTTTAACGAAGTTATGACAATCTCTTTACTGAAATTACATTTATCAGTGTACATTACATTTAAAAGGCAATTTTAAGAATGAAAGGGTGTGATTGCACAGATAATACTCTTATTAATAATATTCCGGCATGCACTGACAAGGTCGTATAATGTAATAATGAAAATAAAATATATTAGCTGTCGTAGATAATAAGGCCAATTACCCTGTTGATGGAGGCATCAACTGATTTCCTTAATACTTTCAAACATGATCTTATTTTACATTCTGATTATCTTGTGTTTTATATTCATTAATTTCATAATAACTTTATTCACCAGAAAATGTATTTTTATTTAGATTTACTATTCGTGCTTGATTGCCATGTTTTTTGAAAGATAAAGCCTACAAAATATTTATGAATATTTTAATAGTGATCTGTAATTCCAGAATATTTTTATTCTTTTACCTAGTAGATTACCTGTTTTTTAACATCTCTTTTCAGCTTACAGGGGGTTTGTTGCTCGCAAAGAATACAAAAATGCAAAACATAATAAAAAAGTGGAAGAATATATTACCAAATTTCAAGCAAGTAAGAATTGTTTGCTTTCTTGGCTTTTAATGTGCTATTCATACACACACAATATGTTGACCGAGATTGTCATTACACTGATTAACTGTGCTCATTTGTATGTTCTGAGGTATGACTTATCTTTAATACATCCATATACAGTGGCTGAAATGGGTCAGTGTATTCTGTTGCCTGTACCTCAGAGTGGTTCAGGCATTTTTGACTGCTTTGAAGTGAGATGCTCAAATGCCATAGCAAACCTTGTCACTCCTGGTCTGAGATACTGAAGTGCTACTGCTGCCCAGCTATGGGTGTTGTTGAAACCCACATGACACTGTCTGCACGTGTGAGTGTGTGGGTGCTTCTCAGTTTGGAGTGGGGTTTGTTATGTGTCAGTAATGGTTACATATGGGAAGACTTCAGGCTGTAAATTCACTCATGTCTCTTTTTCACCATCGCTTTGTTTTTCATTTGCAGCCATAATGACCCTGGGCCCAGGTGTTGCTATGGGACATCCCCTTTTCCTCTCTGCACCCCTGTCCCTGCAGAGACATCCCCAAGCTAGACACAGTCTAGGCAGCTCTGAAATCAGGAGCAGCAGAGCTGGAGAGACACGGGACTGAAGGCCAGGTTGGATGTGCCTCTGAGCAACCTGGTCTAGTGGAAGCTGGTCCTGCCCATGGAAGTGGGGTTGGAACTAGATGATCTTTAGGATCCCTTCCAACCCAAACTATTCTATGATTTTATGATTCTATAAAAACAGCTGGCACAAATATGCACAGCATTTTGACTAATTTCAAAGGTGGCAACCCAAATATAAGCTAGTGTTGCCAGTACCCAGGCTATCTAGATTTAAACAACCTCAGATATGCCTTCATGAGTATATACCACCACCATTGTTGGTTTTAATCATTGTCAGATGTCTGTTAATTGCACTGTGCCAGTGTGTACTGAAGATCACTTCACTGCAGTTGATAGCTTCATCAGTGTAGAAAACAATCCAAAATCAGCATAAAATCCAGTCATGTGCCAAAAATTATTTCACATCTGAACACTGTAAATTATATTAGGATATTTAGCAAATGCAAAAGTATAAACTTACTTAACTCTGTTGTCCTGAATGTTTCTTTATGTCCACCTTCTCCGTCATGTCTGCAGTTTCATTTCAGCTTTTTCAGTGCACAAGAAGCCAAAACTAAAATGAAGTCCATTTTTACTTAGCTATCTCCATTTTTCCCCCCATTAATTTCTAAAGCAATATAAAACTCCTCTTCCAGTTTGAAAACAAAGCTTAGACTGTAACTATCTCATACCAAACTTCTCAGAAAACTCAAACATGAACCAGAATAGTCAAAAAAGACCAGATGCAGCTCATATTGGCATGTCCATTGATAACTTGATTTGTTTCAATAGTACTCTTGATGAGTTGCTTTTATATAAAAATGGAAAGATAATTGTCTCAGAAGTCCAAGAAGCTCAAGAAGTATTCCAAGTGCTTTTCAATTTCCATTTTTTAAGACCCTGTCAGACTGAAATATAAAATCCAATTGTGCTACTTCCAATACGTGTTAGTGTTTCTTTATCCTATATATGATTATCCAGGTGTAACTTATGCCCATTTTATATGGTGCTTCTTAGGTTGATTGACTGCACCTAGTGGAGCCCAAGCTGGTCGAAGTTATGAGTGAGAAATGCTAAAGCACATAAAACTTAGCACTAAGTTATATGAATGTGTTGGAACACCCTGCTAGTGCTCCCTTCTTACTTTCAAGTGAGCTTGACCTTTTCACTGTGATGCAAAACGCTCTCAGCAAAGTTGAAGAAAGATTCCCATATATACCATGTCGACAGGGTATTTAAATCACCTGAATCTACTATCCCCATACTCTTGGTTCTGCATTTGGAATTAGATTTCAACAAAAATATTTTGACAAAACACTGTGTTCTTTTTATTTTGCCAGGGATTAGCAGATTTGTGCTAAATCCCTGGAACTGCAGATTTGTCCCAATCACAGCACTGTGGAGACTGTGCCAGTTCCCATTAGGAAATTATTTGCAAGTTCGAAACATTTTGAAGCAATATTCTGAATGCAATTCAGTTTCTGATTAGGACACTTCAGTGTAGATGTGTAAATCTACAGTGATCTAGGTGTCTAAACTGCTGTTATAGTCAGTAGAGCCTAGGGTTTGAATAATTTTATTCAAAATCAGCAAATGTTCAGCTCATTTGCCCTCATACTTGGTATCTAGTGTCATTCGAGGTGCCCTGGTTATCTTGTCTGGCCTCCAGCTTTCTTTCACCTGGTATACTCAACTTTTCCTGTCCAGAAAGTCCCATCTGTCCTGCTCTTTCCGCCAGCTCCATGTGGATGCCGTGCTATCCTGGAGCACTTCAGATGGCACCAGATACCAACATGCTGGCAACTGCATCAAGGCCTATCAGCACCTACATGGCTCAGGGAAGGCCCATGTTTGAGTCCTTATTTCTAATTCAGACCAGAGAATTAACCTTGTTCCTCCCACAAATTACAAGTGGGGAGTTTCTCTGCCACAGTGCACCTGGTTACTGTGGAGCTTAGCACATCTTTCATGCTGAGCCTTTTAATTTTGAATAATCAGTCTTTGCAGAAGGAGCGTGAGCTAAGTCTTCTGTAACTGCTGAGCTATAAAATTCTCAGTTTCTCTCTGATCTATTGAATGTTCAGCTAATTCCAAGCCTGTGCCAGTTGACAGCCTGGTAATCTCTAAAGGCTGATAATCATTTCCTATGGAAATGAAAGACAGAGTCAAATCAGTTGCCTGAATCAGACAAAGCAGGTACATTAAGCTCAGAGTACTGTGTTCAGGAGGCACTTCTATAGCTCTGTGCTTCTGTTTTATTCTGCTTCCTCCTGTATTTTCTCTAGTCCAACAAAATATGAAGAAAGAGCTGTTTGTATCCTCATGTAGAATGGATACAGCTTTGTGAAATCTCAAAAAGGTTTTATGGGAATCATTTCAGATGAAACATAATCCTAATAGGCACCCTGGTCTGTATTTCCTTATTAGCTTTTGTTTAATGCTGTTAGAATTTGACTGTCTGAAATGTGTGTGACACCCATTGCTTCTTGCCTAAGGTTGTTTTGCATTATAATTTGTATCAGTTGCCAGAGGATACTTACTCAGGAAGAAGAGAAAAGAACTAACTGAAACAAGAAACAAAGCAGCAATAACAATCCAGTCTCACTACAGGGGATATAAGGAGAGGAAGGTCTTCAAAAGCAAGAGGTAGTGTTACTTTCTCTTATGTCACTCAAATGTGTCCCTTTCCAGTAATTACAATACTGAATAACAACATTATAAGATAAGAGGGAAGCAAATTAGGATTATTCTAGATATGTATGCAGAAGTAATGTGAAGGTTTTTAACGGCAGTAGCCAATTTTCTCATCTTTTCAAGCCCAAGGAATAAAGGCATATTTAGGAGAAAGGTCAACAATACTGTACCTACCTGTAATGTTAATGTAATCTATAGATGAATATAGCTCATAATAATTGGAATTAGCTCATAATAAAAAATGTTCAGATAAAAGTGAGATAGATATCTGCAAAGAACTGTTCTCATTGTAAGTCACTGTTCGAGATAAGCAAAGGTGATGACAGAGGAAACACAGAATACTTTTAGGATTGTATGTATTTATATATTCTTGAGATGCTAAAAGGTTTATGCCTTATGTTTTTCGTTAACATTTAAATTAATTCCTTACTGTTTTATTAGCTCTCACACAACCTAGATTGTCTTCCTGGAAGTTTTCTGTGAAATTTAACAGGGATGTCCCTTTGAACTTAAGAGATGATTATGTTGATGATAATAATATAATATCTTTTCACTTTAAGAGATAATAATAATAATAATAATAATAATAATAATAATAATAATAATAATAATAATAATAATAATAATAATAATAATAATAACAACAACAACATAAATTGCTGTCTTTAATTCCAGCTATATGCACTAAATCTTTCCCATGTTGCAATATATCAAATTGCTAGTTAGTACACAAAGACCACCAAAGGTAGTTGTAAAGTTGTCTCTATTCTTTATCTCCTTCAGCTGTAATTTTTGTCCAAAACTCTGTTCCATTCAGGGAATCACTTAGAAAGCAAGAAACTGAAAATGCTGTGACCATTAGCAAGAAGGAAAATGATGAAGAACTTCAAGATCCTGAAGAGGAGAGTGCCCTCCCTAGAACAGAAGAAGAAGCAGCAGCTGCCATAGCAGAGGAGGAATTATCTGCTGTGGAATTCCTTGAAGCACAACTGCAGCCAGCTCAAAATGATATACTGGAAGAAGTGGCAAGCGAGGAGACTCAAGATGATGCTGATGCTGTCACTGACAGCTCTGGGTACAGAGACATGGGGAATGTCGAGGAGCAACAGCAAACATCTACTGAAGGAGAGGCAGCATCTGTGAAACAGAACCTGGCAGTAGAAGAGGTTAGTGAAGGTGAAGAACAGGACTCTTTGGAAGAGTTACCCAGCAAATCTTCTGTCAGAACCTCAGCTGAACCTAGACCCCAGCAAGAGCAAGATAATCAAGACACAGGCAGTGTAGACTGGCAGAATCAAGAATCTGCTGTGGTCCAGCACAGAACTGACAGGGATGTAGAAAGAAACCACTTAAACCGTGAAGCAGTGATGCCTACAGGAAGTAAAGGAATCACAAGAAAAGAGTCACTAAGAAGAGGCTCATGGAAGCAAGCTGAGGCAGAAAAACAAGGTTCAGAAGACAAAGAGAAGGCAGCAGTGGTAATTCAGAGCAATTACCGGGGTTACAGAAGGAGGGGACAACTCAGAAAAGAAGGGAAACTACCTTGCAAAAGTCAAGAGAAAACAATAAAGGAGCCAAAAGAAGCAATACGCGTTCAAAATAACAATCCCCAAACAACAAAAGGCAGGGAAAGCACCAGTACAGAGGCTGAAGACTCTAAGACACTGAAGGGAGACTCAGAGAAAGAGGCTTGTGATTTGGCAGCCTTTTCACGACAGGTAAGAAGCTTGTCAGAAATGTATGTGGAACATAATATCCTGAGCAGTGACAGAATGGCCAAGTTATTTTATTGACTTCTATGGCACCAGGGTTTTGCTCTCTAACTAACTCTGTCTCTAACTAAGACTAAGATTTTGTAATGTATGTTCTATAAAAATGAGTATTTTGATTTGCAAGAGAAAATAGGCTTTTCAGGAAGGAGGAAAAGTCAAAGAGTAATGGCAAAAATAATGTTAATCTGATTTAAGTTAAATGCAGGAGCTTTGCCTTTCAAATGTTTGTTTACCCATCAAGGCCCCTAATTCAGTACACTTGTAACTGTAAATGAAACTAAAGTTGCTGTGCCAGTATCAGAGACTTGCACATGTGCAGGGAAGTATGCCTACAGCTGTAGAAGCAATCTTGCATCAGCAAGGCTCCATCTGCCCATGTATGTGAACCAATTAGAAGTAGCTGTAGGACTGGACTGCAGTGTTGAGTTTCCTGTGTGTCTTTTTTTCTCCCATCTTCATTTTTTTCAAGACATGGGGAGGTAAATGTGGTAGGTGTGTGCACTGCAATCACTGAAGCAATACCTTTTAAATTAATTCTCTAGTCCACTATTTTACCTTTGATTACCTTGGAACATATATACTTATTTCTATAATAATGTAAAAATATGTTTTTCAGATATCAAAATTATCTGAAGATTACTTAGCATTGCAGCAAAAACTGAATGAAATGATATTGTCCCATCAGCTGAGACCCGTGATGATGTCCAAAGATAAGCAAGCTAACGGCCGGCTTTCTTCTCATGTTTGCCAGTCAGGTAATGTTTAACTTTACTGTTGTCAGATTTTTCATTTTTAAACAGGACTGACAAGAAACTACTCCTGGTCATGTCAGAGAATGAGTAGATGAGCTAATTCCAGCTGCTCATGTTACTCTGCCTGTATATTTTTGTACTGAGCTCCATATCAGTACATGTCTGGAACACAGTTTCCAAAGAAACACCCAAACATGATTGGGATTTATGTATTTAACATTTTTCTTGGTATTTTGTTTCAGTGCTGCTTAGGATTGCTGAATGAATCTTTGTGAGACCTAGACACACAATCTTTAGGAATACTTTTATTGGGTAAAATTCTATATTGGCTTGTGTTAACTCAGGTGTCACTCAACTGTGTGTGTTATTGGTACGATAAGGGACTATGCTTTTAAAACAAAACTTTTTAAAGTAATACGTCAAACAATTTACTAAAGTTTATGACATATATTCTAAGTGAATTTTTAGCTATCCACTGATGCAACTGAAATTATTCAAAACTTGTAACTCCTACCCATATTGGTAGGTATGTCCTTAAAATTGCATGTAAAGTCTTATTGATATTCAGCATCCATTTAATTCACGTACTTAAGAGGGTGTGATCTCTAGAAATGCACTCTGGAGTTATTTATATTCCATTTAACATAGGCAGTGAAGTTTCCCAAAATGCAAACATGCTTGGAGCAGCTTGGGTGGCAGGGGGGAAGAGTACTGGGACAATAAAGAGGACATGGGATTCTGAGCCTGCAGATCATTAAGACCTGTGCTCCACCAAAAAGACCCCAAAGAACTGACTGAGCTGCTCAGACATCTTCTGGTTGAATAGAGGTAACAGGGAGTTTTCTCAGCTCATGTCCTGGGCTGCAGATGTAGAGGAAGATGAGGGCAGATGTGGCAGATAACTGGCTGTGTCTCCATTTATGTGGCAGGGCTTGTGTGAGCTCACTGCACTGCCTCTGGGGAAGAGCTGGGATAAGATCTAGGACTGTCTCTCACTGCCCAGAGCTAGTTGTGCTATTTTCATTATAACATTGTGGATTCAGTTGTCATGTGTGATGGAACTTCTTTCTGTTCCCATGACTACATTGAAAAGATCTTAAAAGTACTTCAATCCTGCTTTGGAGTCCTCTCAAATGGGCAAGCTGCTAAAACAAGGATTTGGTGTTTAGACTTTTAAGTGTAAACTGGCTGCTGGTAGGTAATCTATGTAGTTCAGCCTGTTTCCAAAACCAAAGTCTGCAAGAGAAAAGAAATGGGAAATGGGAAACTAAGTGCTATGACCTTTCATTAAAGACAGAGCAAAGTTTTTGATTGTCAAATTGAGAAATTGAGTTCAAATCACAAATTGTGTTCTCTACTAAATACTGCTGATTTTTTTATGAGATAAACGTGAAAAATTAAAATTGTATACTTTGGAAAATACCTCTTGGTTTTCCAACAGAAGTTAGAGAAAAGAGGTAGAAAGAGCAAAAGGGAATATACAAGTCCCCATTTTATCAGTTAAAGATCTCATCACTTGCACGAGTGAACCAGGTGAAAATGTACCAGTATGTTCCTGCCATGTGCAAAATGCAGTGAAGTCTAACCTTCACACTGCTATTAATTTAAGTAGCTTTACAGCAGACAAAAGCTTGCCAGAGTTTGTCAGCTGTGCATCCAACCCTGCCTAAAGGGGTGACCAGTCAGCCACTTCCCTTTATCTCTGAAAATGTTGCACTCCTGCAGTGTCACAGTGCAGAAGTTTTCCAGTGGTAAAGTGTGCTAACCTGTCCACTGAAAAACCTTTCTTGGTGTGGAATGTGAACTTTCTTTTTCTACACTTGGACGTAATTCACATGACAGGAAAACTGTTTCTTTTCCAGCTATGACCAATGCACAAAATAGCGAAGACAATACACTGCAGTAATTCAACAGTTTGCCTTTTTGGAAACTGGCTTTATCACAAAGCTGCATTGGCTTAAGCAGATGTTTATTATAGCAAACATGATCTAACTAGATGCAGAGAATATTTAAGTAACAATATGCCTGTGTTCAGTTCATTTAAGTTCTACTGTCTAAAACACAGGAGTTACCAACATTCTAGATACTGTATTTTCTTCCTCTATACAATATAGTAAAATGTCTACAAAACCCCCAAAGATTTGAGATAAGGTCCTGCAGATGGTCATGCTAAAGTGAAGCAGGTAGATGAGGTGATCCACTGCCTTATTGACAGGGAGGAACTTTCCCATCTACCTGCCTACATTATGTGTTACAGTAGGATTTATGCACGCTCATTTACAGAAGGATAGTGCTTTTACTGCAGCTTTCCCTCTATGGCTGCTTTTCTTATCCTACTCTTATGAAGGCAGGGACTGTTGAGCTTTAGGTGTTCTTTAAATCATGTGGTATTTACCTATTTGTAATTACATTGGTCATTTACATTTATTTGCACTTTTTCATCAGCTTCACTAGTTTTATATGTTGTTTTACAGCTATAGCACATGAATTTTGTTTTATAGCTACATAGGAGAGTTTGGCTGCTTTTGTCTGTGGGTAGGTGGCCATTGTTCAATCATACAATGTACTTCTTCCTCTGATAAAATATTTTATTACATTTGCTACCCACAGAAGGGGAGGAACTGAGGGACAGCTGATGGCATACTGTGACAAATGTTCAGATATTTGAAATGGTTTTCTTGTTTGTTTGTTTTTAATAAAAATGCAAAGCTTGCAGTTCAAAGAACATTTGAGTAAAAGGTTAATTTAATCTTAAATCCACAAGGTTAAGTTGTTCCTAAATGAGTTTCTTCATATTTATAAAATTCATAAAGCAAGCTGCACAAGGTTCCTGGAATAAACAAAGTTCCCTGTGGCTAGAATCTCTAAGTAGGTTATATTTGCTTCTTACATGCTTTCAGCCAAATGTAATGTCTGCACCCCAGAACTGCACCCTTGGACTGCTAGTGAGCCTTGGGATGCTGTGCATGAGACCAGATGCACAAATGGCTGCTGTCAAGTTTTTTGAGATCAAAGCCTGAAGTGAGGGGAATTTGATCATTATGGGAGGATTTTTTAAAATTTTTTTTACTAGATGATTCATAGTGCTTATCCCTCTACTTGTTAAATGACAGTTCAAGTACAAAATCCCAGGAAGACAATTTTCTATATTTAGAATGAAATTCATGTGGTATAAGGAACCCCGATGCAGCTGAGGACATTTTCAACTAAATGAGGCAATGAGACAAGCAGGGTTTTCATCCAGGATTCCTCCTGCTGTAGCCTGTCAAAGCACTGTTTACGGGAATTTAATGGGCAGGCTTTGCAAGGAAAAGGGAGCCTGTGTAGCACTGGGTGAGCAGAGCAGTATTCACCAGGCAGACTTTCTGCTTTGCAAGTGAATAGTCAGCCAGGGAGCACTGAAGCGTGGGACTGGAAAAAAAAAAGGTAGGCAAGTGCTACTGGCTGGTGGTTTTTGGCTACAGGAGCGGTCCTTTGGGCACCCCACAGCCAGGATGTAGATCTATGTTGGGAATTGCTCAGATCCGTGGCAGAGCATAAGATCTGGGAGGTTGTGGAAGTGGAATACAGCCATTTTCCTTAAAAGCAGTAATCCCAGGTCACCAGAAATGAGAGATGCTGGGCACCAGAGTCCAGGGAAGGGCAACAAAACTGCTGAAGGGTCTGGAGCACAAGTCCAATGAGGAGCAGCTGAGGGAGCTGGGGGAGTTTAGTCTGAAGAAAAGAAGGCTCAGGAGAGACCTTACCACTCTACAACTGCCTGACAGGAGGTGCAGCCAGGTGGGAGTTGGCCTCTTCTCCCAGGCAGTCAGTGACAGAACAAGAGGATATGGCCTCAGGCTGCACCAGGGGAGGTTCAGGCTGGACATCAGTGGGAATTTCTTCACCTAAAGGGTAGTTACACATTGGGTTGGATTTCCCAGGCACGTGGTGGAGTCACCATCCTTGGACATGGCACTTCATGCCATGGCCTACCTGGCAAGGTGGTCAAGTCTGGACCTGATGATCTTAGAGGTCTTTTCCAATGTTTATTAATCTGTGATTCTGTATTAGTGTCAGCCAGAGATTGAAACTGCTTCCCTCATTGGGGCTGTGAGACTTAGGTGTGAGAGATCAAACACTGTCAGCCTCTGCTGTACACAATCTGAAAGTTCTTGGTCTCTTGCAGTTTCTACTTCTGGATCTGTGCCAGAGTAATCTCTCTGTTTTTTTCCAAAATTTGCAGAATTTTTACAGAATTTGCAGCCATCAGCCATAATTTCCAAATCTGGCTGTGTTAAACATAACATGAATTAGAAATACCTAAAAGTTATTGACCAGGATGTTGAAGAGCTGTACTTTTCTCAGTGCAAATTCCAAACTTGAGTTACATCCTCATGCTGTGTACAGTTAGAACAGGAAAAAGGTATGCACATAAATGTTGTAAGCAGTAATACCTGTTAGCTCCTCATTATCAAGTCCTGGAATTCCAGTTGCTGTATTTCCATTTTTACTGACTTTCAACTCCCTCTACAAAACCTATACAATTACTGCTTTTCCTCTTGTTTTCCTTCCTGCATAATTCTGAGCCTGGCTTTCTACTTCTGTCTCCATAAGATGTGGAACAGCTCTAAATCAAGCATGTAATATTTCACTTAGAAGACCCGAAAATGGCTTTGTCTGTTTCTCCAGGTGGCTTAATAGAGACCTTTGGTCCCTTAGATATTTATCACAGCTGTAACCACACTATTTCTCCAGTGTTCAGTATAAAATCTGTTAATTTACATTAACCTCCATGGATGTTGATTCCTTGAGATTGCTGTCTCCCAAGCTTATCATTGTATGTCAGAACGTACAGACAGTTCAACCTAAAGGGCTGTTGATACTGACTCATCTTTATTCAAACATTTCTTGCTCACCCTTCGACGTTTCAAGCACATTGCAGCTCTCCTCAGTTCCTGTAGTTTTTGGTGGTGTTCAGGATACACATACCTTACTGTGTAATTTGGAGGCAAAACTCAGAAGTGCATTTACAGCCGTATATTCGGTTTTAAAAAGGAATTATGGAGGTCCAAGCTTAGAAGGCTGCCTGCCCCAACATGGTATTTCTTTCCCCTGAATTCTTTGGCATAGTTTACACAGGTGTACAACACAAGAGCTGAGATGGAACGCATTTTATTTTTACTGAAACCTTTATCATTGTCAAAATGGTATTTCTTGAATGTGTAAAGCAGTCTTCTTTGCAGAGCACACACACAAGAAGTATACAAGTAATTTCATTTGGAATAATTGTAATCTAGAATACAATAATGCTTTTTCTGTTTGACATTGATGAATTAAATAATGTAACAGCATACACAGTGATGAATTCCTAGGGGACAGTAAAAAAATCTTCAGGCATAAAGAAAGCCTTTTCATTGGAATTTTTCTAGAACCCCCAAATTGGGGAAGCCAAATTGCCTTCATTTCTTTTTTCAGATTTTCATGCTGACAAAATTTTTGAATGTTCTACAGACAGGGCTTAAGGTGTTTCTATTCAACAGTACTGAATTTTAAGGTAGTGTTTCCACTTCGGACTCCTGTTGTGTTTAAAAATAAAATAGGGAAGATATGCCTCTTCTCTCAAACAAATGGAAAGCCAGATAACTCCAGGTGGTCCATTTGAAATGCAGCAAGGTAGCAACAGTCCACATTAAGAGCCCAGTCAAGCCTGCTATACCTACTGAAGTCTATGAATCTCACCTATATTTAATACAGGTTACTGAAATGAATTTATTGCATCTTAAATTCATTGTTTAACATGAATTATCTGTAACCTGGCTTAGAAAAAAAACATTGTTCTCTTAGGAACAAAATGTTAAAAAGATTCTTGTTCATTCATTACAGAAGAAGCAGTCTACATTTCAGATAAGAAACTAAAACAGTAAATGTAATCATTATCCAAATACAATTTAAATTAACATTATTCAGTCTGCCTCCTCTGTATACCCATGACCTTTACAAGCCTTTATTTATCACACATAACAAAAAACTTAAACAGCTAATTTTGCAGGAGTCAACACTGATGTATTACTGATTGTTTTTCATTTTAAATTATTGTGCTACCTGCTTAATTAAAAAGATTTCTGCTGTACATAGGAGAGTTTTTATTTTTATCACTTAAAAGGCTTTCTGATGGTCATAGGGGAACAAAATGGTGTTAGTCACTTCACGTGGAAGTGGATTATATCACCAAAACAAACTTTAGTAATTCACTGAGATCTAGATCCCCATTCCAACCTCACACTGTATTCATTTATGAATAAGGAGATGTTTGGTTTTTTTCTCATGGACTGTCCTTAGTATATCTGTGATGAGACAAGGGCAAGATCAAACCTCACTGGATAATGCAAGGTACCTTAGACACTCGGATCACTGTGCTGTGGCTTCATTCACCACCTTGTATGTGTCTCTATAACCCATCTGTGCCATTGGTGTTCTGCTGCTGTGCAACCCCCTTCTCCTTCATCATCAAGGAATTGCTGTCACTGTTAACTTTTCCTATAGCTGAAGGGAAGGATACCAGGCTCACCAGGCTGTACATTTGTGATTTCTTGTCTCTCCAGGGCCAGTTCTGTGGTCTTCCTAGGCATTAGGAACCCTACACTCAGTGTTGTCTCTGTGACAAACGACCTATGAACCCAAGCAGCCCTGTATCTTAGCACTATCAGAATTGCATACAGATTTTCAACAAGCAAATAACCAAGATATTTTTCTAGTTCTCTATGTGCCAGCCAAGGTAATCTGAAAGTCAGAATCTAATTCTGAATTGGGAGACTGCCAGGGGACAGTAGTTCCATTTTGTGTTAAAATCTTTACTTCATTTCTATTGGAGTGAAGACATTTTTCACACATGTGCAGAAAGGTTTTATAGAAATAAAGACCAGAATTTGAGTACTCTAACATAGACTACATTGGATGTGATGGGCATGGTCATGCTGTGTTCCCAGTGGCACATGATTTGGCTTGAAATGAAAAGCCTCAGCAGGACACCTGGAGGAAAATCTTCACTGTGATAAGGTAGAGGGCAACCTCTGAAACAGAGGTCTAATGCTAGTTTCCTCATTCAGCAGCTTAAAGATTGACTTGAGTCTGAAAAAAAAATCACCCCTGTCACACAGGTCCCTGTTATGAGGCAATGGCCTCCCAGTAGCCATTACCCTTCAGAGCCCTTTTCTGAATGTGGAACATCAGCCCCTTTCAGAAGGAGAGGCCTGTGCCAGGCAGACCTCCAGGCTGTTCCAGCCTGGCATTCATTATGTGACATTTGTCCCTATGGGCAGTCAGGACTCAAGTGGATAACCCCATTCTCTGCTGATGAAAATGTCCAAACCAGTTGCTTACTTGAATTACTGCAAGCAGTAAAAGTGGCTATGTGGATTTTTTTCTCTCTTTAGCAAAATTCTCCCCTGTTTTTTTCCAAAGACCTCCAGTTCTGTGAAGAATTAAGCAGTGCTGTCCTCTGCTTTTTTACAGCTGTGGCCAAAATAGAAGACTCTCGCCCAATGCAGAGACCCCCCAGAAGGCCACGGAAGCCCAAGACATTAAATAATCCAGAAGACTCCACCTACTACACTCTAATACATGTGAGTTTAAGAAGTTTTCTGGGCTAAAACTGTCAGATAATGCTCACCTAAACTATCTTTCTAATTGCCCAATTCCCATTATTCTTTTCTAATGCAGCATAAATCCTGTGTCCTGCTGAAAGGAGGCAGGCCACAAACTCCACATTTCAAACAAGACTTGAAATAGAAATACAGCATTACCCAGACTGGGGAGCTATGTCAGACCATGTTTACTTCTGTACCTAAGCATACATATTTTCATTAAGTACATAAGGATAAGTACATTTTTATTTTCAATACCCAAATCAAGTGCCCTCTCTCCATAGTTTCTTTGTAAGTCACAGGAGAGAACCAGGGGAGGCACAGGTTTGTTTGGAGCTATTTTGAGCATCTAAATTAGTGCTTGATCTTGCAGAGAGAGCAAATATTAAAATAAGTTGTATTAGTATGCACACTGTAACTTCCTTTACAAATGTGTCAGATTGTGATTATGAAGGCATTGGCAAATACCAACAGCTCAGGAGACTAATGGATTTGAGTGTCGCTATATATAGCCTTTGGTCCAAGTTCAGATACCGAGTGCTGCTTTCCCCTCTTGACTTCAGTGCCCTTAAATATAGGAAAAAAGGCAAGAAAGTAAGCAGAGAGAGTGAAAATGTAAAAGCAGCTCAGAAAGCTCTTCCAACAAAAAAAAGCAATTAAACTGATTTGCTCGAGGTGCCTGTATCTTAGTGACCTATTTTAACAGCCGGTGAGATCCCAGCTAATAAACTAACCGTAGCAATTGCTTCTCCTTTCAACAGAAGGTGTCACCAGGGCCTGTAGGGATGGTTGTGTCTGGCATACCAAAAAAAGACAAATACAGATATGCTTTATTCTGGAGCTTTGAAATAACACAGTTTTGGAACAGTGATATTCTGAAAAAAAATTTAATTCTTAAAAATAAATTTTCTTGTAAGGATAAAATTCGTTTTGTGAAAGCAAGATTGGTGAGATAAAGTACTGAAATGAAAGGCATGACACAGAATCTGTATTCAGAAATTTCTGAGAAGGGTAATTCTGAAGTAAATGCCTATTTAGGAAATTAAGACTATAGGATCAGGAACATAGTATTTTCTGGGAGCTGATTTGTTACATGGCCAGCTCCATACCAGAAAACCAGCCACAGCATCCATGCAAACAAAAACTGCAGTAGTGCCAGGAGATTTTTAATCAATTTTTTAGCAGCAGCTTTTCAAGATATTAATCAATATTACCTTCAATGAGTTGTATTTTCAAGAAGGTGTGGAAAAGAGAAACCTGTCTTCCTGACATGAAGTTCCCTGGTCAGGGAAAGGTTCAACATAAATATCTATACACTGAGGCTTAGAAAGGAGACCTACTAGTTGTTAAATTCTTAGACTTTGGGTAAGTCATTAAGGTCCAACTTTAGATGGTAGTCAGCTTTCCCAGCTATTACAGATTTTCTACTTTATTAAAAATCTCTGTGACCTTCAGGCATTCACAGATTATTATCAATCCCAGATCATCTGAAAGTGAAGAAACACAATATGAGTGCATCTTTTAAAAAAAATTCTCTATCTTTTGCAAAATCAGGTATTTCTCTCACATCATGTTACAGACATTAATTAGACACCTCACATTCTCACACATCTCCTTGCATATCAGATGACCTGAAGGGGTATACAGGTATAAATGAAGGCTGACAATAGCCCATTGTTCATATAAGGCATGAGAATTTTATTTTGGAGTATATTTTTTTTAAATCAGCCTATCATTTTGAAATTATATGTCATGTTCATTTTCCTGCATACTGAAGCCCATCAGGATTTCTGATTCTCAGTGACTTTACAGTCCCAAGTTCTAATACATTTTCACTCATCTGCAAGAAACACAATTACGACCACAGTCCACACTAAAAAATACTGCCTTTGAAGTATGATGTGTTAGGTGCTGAAACATAGCATTGTTTTGGCTGTAGGGATGGAACTCTATTAGAGATAAGAAATTATTCACATTCCCTACGAATCTTCTCTGCTCTGCATTTTTAGAAATCTTATATATCCTAAAGGTTCTTTTGTCACGTATTATACTGTTTTTAAATGGGGCCTTTGTCCATTTTATTCTACTAAACCTGTGTGAAGACTATGCTGGCATTAATGAGAATAGAATTATGCCTCTTCCCACTGCATTGCTTCTATTCATGGAAATACTCATGGCATCACAGTAAATTTGCCTCAGTGAGATAGTGTTGTCAACATCATTAAAACAGTTACAGCTATTTCAAAGTTTTAGATCTCCTTTTTATGTTCTGATCATCAATACTTTGGCCTTTTTTTCAAAGTATGGCAAGGAATTTGGGAGCAACAATGCTGATCTCATTCTCAGTCTCAAAGGTTCTTAAAAGAGTTTTTTCTGGGATATTTGCTTATTTTCTATCATTTCTTTTACTGAAAAATATCTCCTGCCTAACACTGATGAATTTTACGTTTGCATAAGCTTTCCTTTTAGCATTTTTAATTACTTTTTATTTTCCTAGAAATCAATACAAGATGAAAAACGGAAACCAAGAAAAGAAAGGTAATTTTTCATTATCTCACTATTGTCACTCCAGTACTCTAGAATAGTCTTTAGCTGTACTTCAACCAGGAGAATAAAGCATTTTAAAAAATAATGGTAATTTGGTAATTCACAGGGGGACATATATGCAAAGTTAAAATGCAATTTTCATTGACTAAAATCCATTCTAGACTTCAGCCATTCAGTTTTCCTAAAACATGGTCCTTTACCATGGTAACACAGGCAATTATAATAAGATAAGGTCCACATCAAAGATAGTTCTGACACAGAAAATAATTGAAGGCACTTAAAATTCTAGTCAAAGCAAATGGGCAACCAGTTCTTTTTTGTCGGCAAAAATACAAAGACTGTCAAAATTTTCTCCTAAAAATATATGAATGTCTGGAAATAGATAATAAAAAATTAAAACAATATCTATGAATAACAGCTAAAGAAGAGTAGCCCTTGAAATTTGAACCAGAAGTGTTTTCTTCCCGGTGTAACTAACCTATTTTGATGGATCTCTGCTGAAAAGAAGGAAGCAATAGGTGTATTCTGTCCTTCTGTATCTTAGATCCTTATGTGTACTGCAGGTCTGGTTCACAGCTCCTGACGTACATCACAGCTTTATTTTATTTGTGTTTCTATACTGAGGCTTTTCTGCTGCCCTCTCAGTGGCACTGCTGTGGCATCATGTGTGTGATGGCAGCCTGCTCATAGCTGCCAGATTAATGGGCTCTCTGCACGGTCCTCGGCTGAGGAATACAAACTCTGTGGCTAAAATATGTATCTTAGAGGATGTTGCATGACATTACATCTATAGAAAATGTGCTCACAGCATTGAGCTTCATTGAACCACAACTTAAATTGCACTTGATTATGCCGCAGCTTAAAGGATTGACCTAACGTCCATGTCCTCCATGTTTGGTCTCTTTCAGCTTTTTCTCTCATGTCATTTGGATCCTAAAAAAAATTTCCCACCTATTGACTCCAGTCTAGGAGGAAAAAATAACTAACACACCAAAATCTAGTGTTTTCCCTCATTGGCCTCAGTTAGGTTTCACTCATCTTAAATCAAGTTAACCAGCTCCCTGACTGCATCTTCTTTCATGTGCTGACTCTGTATGTCTCACATAGCAAGTGAAATCAATTAATTACTTCTGGTTTCTAACAATGTGAGAATTGAATTCTGAACTTCTCTATTCAGATTCTTTTTTAGGATATTATTTATTTCCTTAGCCATACTAAAATGAATGTCGGGATTGATTTTTTCTGTATGTACAGTACCCTGAACAGCATTCACCTAACAAAACAAGAGATGTCTACATTATTGATACTCATACCTGAACTAGTTGCTTTAGACTCTCTTCTTGTACTCAGAGAAAAAAATAATCATCTTTAGGAAAAATATTAATCTCTTGCTCAAAGAGATATCTAAAATAAACCTGATGAATTATACCATAAAAATGCCTCTCCACGTCTAATGGCAAACCCAAGCAATTTCAGTAATCTGTGTCTCCTGTATGAATATATAAAAGTATTTAGCATTTCAAAATTCTCAGTATCTACATTTTACAGCAGTCATATTTCAGAGACTGATTTTTTGTGCCTATATATATTTCTGCTTAGATCCTCAACGCATAAACAGAACTAGTAATGATATTTGGCTGCCTTGGGTTTGTATGTTGAAAATAATACTGAAAAGTTAAACTGTTAACTTAGTGTTCTTATTTATTGACAGTCTGAGCAAAGTACTAGATATAGATATCTACTACCAAGAAATTTCATCTACTGACTCCAGCTCCAAGGACAGCAGTACTACCACAAGAAGGAAGAGGTACCCAATTGAGCGCAGGACTTCCATTTTACGAGCTACTGAGCGGTAATTCATACAAAATAGTAATAGGAAAAAAAATAAATATTATTCTTGTTGACATATTCAAAATATGAATCAAAAGAAAATAAATGCATTTTCAAATTACACATAAATCTATTGTTTTAGACATGAAATTTTGCCAATTATCTTGCAAAACATAGAGCTAACATTTCCCATCTCAAAATGGGAATATTCCCTATGCAAGAGGGATAAATGCCAGTGTGATTGGTGTTCAGCCTACCTGCCAGTTTTTGGTATCCCAAGGGCCAGATGGACAGACATTCTGCATCTCTGATCTAAAATGAAATTAAACTGAAGCAGAACCAAAAAACTATATTTCTCATTAGTTAGGTTTTAAATAGAGTGGACATATGCCAGACTTTCTACATGTTTTCTGCAGGTAAGACTCCAGCTTGACTGCCTCCTTCTCCTGTTGTCCTGTAGCAGCACAGGTATCTGTAGCCTGCATGCACCTCACCAAGGTGGAGAGCCAGGAGAAAAACCCCAAAGGGAGGATTCTCTTTTCACATAGACTTCATAGAGGGTGACCACTGCCAGGCTAAGGAAATTCATATTCTCACTCTTTCCACTGCACTCACACACACTGCCCATTCAAACACACATCTATATATCTTAATATAAATGTATCTTCTTGCATGTTCCTAAATGTAAGAAAAATTTGGAAAACTATCCAAGTCAAAATCTTAAGGGAAACACTAAGCTGGGATGAGCGGTGAATTTGAAAATGTTTCTGTAGTAATAGAGGAAATGTTTTTAGAATATTTAGTATGTAGAATGTTTTGTGTGCCTTATGTAATTCATATCCAGCCTTTTTTTTAATGTAGGATCTAAATTAGGTTCAGGAAAGTGAAGCCGTGTAATTAAAAGTAATAATATCAGGGAATTACCATATAGTTTACAACCATTAGAAAATGTTGCATTTCTAAAGTGGTTAATTATACCAAATCTGTAACCCTGGGGTCTGGTTTAGGTGAGCGAAAATTTTGCTACTGAGTTTACCAAAAGGAATTTCTTACCCCTTACTGTTTGCTGCTCTATTGCAGCCTAAATAGCCACAGTGAAACAAAATATGTATAACTTCCAAATTTACAGTTACCTCAGAGGGCAGATGAATGCAATTAATAAATATTTCTGCACTTCCGTATCTCTTGAATAGAGTCGCCAGGATATAAAGACTGTACAGTCATTTCAATCTACAGAAGTGAAGTATTGAGTACTTTTGAAATTTTTATTTATTTATTTATTATTTAGCAGTTTACCTTTGACATTGGTATAGGACCAGTGGTGGGGGCACCTTAAGTGTAAAGCACTACACATTTTTGTAATTATTTCAGAGTAATTTACTTTTTAAATAACTGTATTTTATTTTTAATATTGCTCCATGGTAACAGCTGATGCCACATCATTATTCCAGCCTGTCAGAGGTGGCATCCAAAATGCATCTTGCCATCTGAAAAAAAATGAGGTGGACACTTATAGTGAACTCCACGGGCAGGTTAAATAGAGAGCAAACAAATTTATGCCAACTGAAAATCTGGTGCAGTAACCATCAGGCAAATGCTACTGCAAAGCTCCCCCATGCTCACAAGGTTTTTATGTCCTTTCATTATGTCCCCTTCATAGAAGAACATGTTGTTCTTCTGTGTTCATCTGCTTCTAGCATATAATGTGTTTGTTCCGAGGTGCCTGTTTTGTGCAGCACAGGAAGAGGCCTAGCAAAGTCAGCTGGCTTTTTTTCTTTCTCCTTTTGTTTTTCCCCCACAAGGGTGGAGGTTAAGCAGTCGATTAGGAGTGTTTGCCAAGGTAAATGTTTTGACTTTAATTTCTAAAACACTTCTGTGCTTAATCCCTAGGTCGAGGGTTGCAGAAAGACCCCTGGAAGAGAGCAAAGCCGAAGATAATCCCTATGACTACAGACGACTGCTGCGGAAGACCTCACAGCGCCGGCGCCTTATCCAGCAGTTCTAGCTGCTGCTGCTGTTCCTGCTGCCATTTGGCTTTTATTAGCATAATTTTTTTTATCATTTTATACCATGTGTTTCCTTTTTTTTTTTTTTTTTAAATCTTCAATGTTTCAAGTTTATAGCGTTCATGTGAATATGAATTACTGTGGTTTATAGCCCAACACCATTGCAAAGGGACACTGTCAGTCACATACCATATTCTTTTCTAATATAAAAATCCGGGTTTTTTCGTGCGCCATTGCTACACCCTAAAATTATTAAACAGCTTAAAACTAGTTTACTTTCCTCAGTGCACATTTCTTTTTTTCCATTTCATCAGTCTCATCCAATCAAAATAATAATTTACTTTATAGTTCCCTAGTTAAGCTTTCAAATTTCCATGTGCACCTTCAGAAAACCTTAGTTATTGTTTCTAATAAATTGTTTTACAGGAAAAAAAGAATTACAAGAGCACCACGGAGGAATTTCTGCTTATTTTAGTTTACATTGCCTAAATTTTGGGATGACCTGTTTGTGGCAAGTGTCCCTCTAATGAAAATTAATGTATACCATTAATTGGATAGCATACTATGGCAGTTTATTTCATTATTGACGTTACTATAAAGCTAGTAGCCAGTTTTAAAGGTCAATATTGTGTGTATAATCTTTATGTTGGAGATGTCCATTTATGGGAAGTATATCCAGCCCTCTCCTCTGCCTCTGAGCTTTGTGTCTAAGTGATGAACTTTTAAATCATGTTTGCTTTGTTCTCATTTGCATTAGATTTTTAGGAATCTTAATCTCTGGGGTACCAAGAATGGAATAGAAATACACTCTCTGGTTGATTGCTGCTGAAATGTAATGATCATTCTTAATCAGTTCCACTAGAAATTAAATGAAAATAAAAGCAATAGCCACAGTGTTCAAATTTCCCCCTGATTCCTTATTCAAAAGACTTTATTTCACAGAAACCACATAGATAATTGCTGCACTTCCTTTCAGGATTCATAATTGCACGTTCCCAGCTGCAAAGCAAGAGAAGGCAGATTTCATGATGAGAGCATAAAGGCCTGATCCTACTCGGTTCCTCAGCTCTCCTAAATGTGACAATTGGCGGCAGCAGTCAGCCACAGGGGCTGGGTTTTGTCCGTTCCCCACGCACATTTGGCCTTTTCCCCAGACACAGATAACCACGATTTCCTGATCTGTGACTAGTTACAAGGATGTGCACCGGATTAAATGTAAATGCAATGTAAAATTTGCAATAAATTGTTAAAATTTTGAAATCTGTTTTAAAGTTGTTTTGTCATGTATTATTAAAACAGTGAAGTAAATAAAAATGTACGAAGCAGTGATACAGTTGGTTGTGTCTGAATTACACTCAGAACCGGCAAAACAAAAATGTGGGTTGGGGCATGAGTGAGCAAGGCAGGGAAGGGCTCACAGCAGCCTCTGGCCATGGAAAGCTGGAGTTATTGTCTACGTGCAAGTCAGTGTGATGCGGCAACCGGAACAGGCTGTAATTTCACACAGAATGATGGCTGGACTGGTTTTCTTCTGCTTTCCCGCCACAGCAGTGTTTTAAAGCATTGAGACATTTCTGTGAGGTCTCATGGGGGGACACTCCTCCCCATAACCATGTGGGTGCCTGCAGAAAGCAGAGATGCCCCGGGCTGAACACAGGGCCTGGCTGCGACCAGCGTGGGAGCCCTTCGTGACCAGCGGTCTCGGCAGAGCCACATCCTGACCTGGTGTGGTCCCGCCTGTCTCCTTCCAAAGCCAGGGCTTGGAATCCCTGTGCCAGAGGAGAAGCAGCCGCGGAAGGGAAAGGCTCCCGCGGGGACCGGGCTGGGTGGAAAAGGGAGGTTTGGTTTCCTTCAGAGACGTAATGAAAGGAATGGGAACAGTTGTTCTGCTCTTCCCGTCTGACTGCTGGGCCCTCTGCCTCCTCGGGGCTGCAGCGAGGATGGCGGTTCCACCACGGTCCCCGACTCGGAATGTTGCGGGAAGCCCCCGGGAGCGCCGCGGGGCTCCAGGGACACGCGGGGACAACCGCGCCGTCGCGCAAGACTTCCCCAGCCCGTCCTTACGAGCCAGGACGCTCCTGCCTGCCCGGGAGCAAGAGGGAAAGCGGGAGCCCAGCCCCGAGCGGGCCCCTCCACCAGTGCCTTCTTCGCGGCGGCCCGGCCCGACGGGGCGCCCGGCGGGGCTGTGGGCCGGCCGATGGGACAGCGAGGGCTCGGGGCTGTCTCTTCCCCATCCCGGGACCGCCGGGGGCACGGGCTGCGCCGGCCTCGGCACCGCCGCCCAGGAGTGCCCTGCTTGCGCCTATGGAGATGCCCCGGTGCAAAAGTGGGAGGTGTGGTGGGGGGATTTCCCTTCGCTCTGCATCTTAAAGGACTGAGGACATTTCCCCGTAGTCCCAACCTTCCCCTCGAGGTACCAGGCTGGACCATCGCGGCCGCCTACGCCAACACTTGGAAAACTACCATTCCACTCCTCTCAGCGGCACCGGGCGGCTCAGCCCTCTCCGCCCGCATGGACCGTCGGTGAAGACAGCGCACGTACTCTCTCTCGCCTGCGCTCCCCAAGGCAGCCTCAGACCCAGTTCAACCAACGCCTCGGGTCTGCCCCGAGCGCTATCGTCCTCCCCCCGCCGCCCCTCGCTCCGCCGATGCAGGGTGCGGACACCCCTTAGAACAGCCTGCGCCTCTTCCCGTGGAGCCGCCCGCCCCGTCCCGGGCAGCAGCGCCTGCGGGGCGCGGCCGCGGCAGCTCGGCGAGCGCACCCCGGGGGCGCCCACGGGACACGCTCCCACCCACGCGTGCCCGGGGCGCTCCCGCCCCTCCGCCTGCCGCCGCCTGGCGCAGCCGCGCACTTACACACCCGCACACTCACACTCACGCACACTCGCTCAGGCCGCCTGGGCTCAGATCGCCGCTCCTCGCCCGCCCCGCCGGTTCGCCTCCGCCATGGCAAGCCCCGGCTCCGGCTTCTGGCCCTTCGGAGCCGAGGAGGGCTCCGCAGCCGCCGAGACCCCCGGCACAGGTAGGGGGACGCCGAGCGGCCGGGCGGGATCGGCCCGACGGAGCCGCCGTGACCGCGCTGCCCGGTGGCCAAAGCCCCCTTTGTGACAGCTCGACCGGCGGGACGAAGCGGCGGGGACCGACGGCGATCGAACCCGGGCCAGCGCCGCGGGGCTCTGCGGGGCAGGGGGATCCTGGGGAGCGGGGCGGGGGTCCGGCGAGACGCCCCCAGCCCGCGCCCCCTCCACGGACCCTCCGCTCGATTTTCTCTTTCAGCCAGAGCTTGGTGCCAGGTTGCCCAGAAGTTCACGGGAGGGATCGGAAACAAACTCTGCGGTAAGGGCAGGGAGGCCCCGGTAGCCCGCGGCGGGGGCGCGGCTGCGCGCCCGCGGAGCGCCGCGGGACCTGCCCCGGGCCGGGGGGGCGGGGGATGAGGGTCGATGCCCCGGTAATGAGGCCGTGTGTCCGTGTCGCTGTCAAGCCCTGCTCTACGGAGATGCCGAGAAGCCCGTGGAAACCGGCGCCAGGGCGGCAGCCCCGGGGGTAGCGGAGCCGAGGCCGACCTGCACCTGCGACAAAAAACCCTGCGGTTGCCAAAAAGCGGACGTGAATTACGCCTTTCTGCACTCAACAGGTAACGGCGCTCTCGGGGCACGCTGCTTCTCTAAAACTAACAAGAAAAAAACAGCGGTTCGGTCGGGAAATTGCCTCCGCTCGCCTTGCGCGGACGCGTGGGGGGTCCGGCGGTGCGTGGCGGAGCTCTGCGCCCTCAGCCCTGGCCCCCGCCGGGCATTTCTCAAATCTGCGAAAAATCACTCAAACAACAAAAAATCCCGGAAAGGAAAACCCAAAACAGTAAAATCCCGCGTACTGGAGCCCGCGGCTTTTTCTTTCTAAGCAACACTGATAGTATCGACCTTCTCATTGAAGACCCTGCGATGTGATGAAGGTTGGAGGGGAGGCGGGAGATAGAGCGCTCTCCTACTCATTTGCTTTAATTCGAGATATTTTTGTACTTCATTTTTTCTGACCTTGGAAGTAGCGTCTCCGCCAGGGAGTAGGTCCCAGATCCCCGCCGACATTCGCTGGCCAGGAACTCTCCTGTTTGCTCGGCAGCCCGGGACCCCAAATTAGAGGCTTCCACTACAGTCTGGCTTTGACTGAGCCATCGCTCTTAAACAAAAGCTTTGTGTACACCGAGAGTCCGTGCAGCATTGCCTCAGAAAAAGGCATTAAATTATCAACAAGTCACTCACATAGGAGAGTCACCACGAAGGTATTTTATTGCAGGCAAATGACAGTTTTTAGGGTTCTGCGTGTAGCATTTGTTGGTCAATCTTTATTTCCTGCGAGATTCGTTTTCTCTTTCTTCTTGTTTCTTTGCTCTCACTGTCTTAATAATTGGTCTGAAATATACTGTGGACAAAATTGGCCAATTTAGATAAGATATTAAATCTTATCTCTCAGAAGGTTCCTTGAAATACAACCTTGTTAATTTGCTTATTAAAATGAAAACAAAACGTGTTTTTATTGACTACTGTGTAAAGATTTTGTAAACATAAATAGGAGAAGGCTTTGTTCAAAATCTATGGATGTAGTCATAAAACGAAGTGAACTTTTAAATTTCTCCATTCCCAGATCTTCTGCCGACATGCAATGGAGAAATAACTACTATGTCTTTCCTACAAGATGTTGTGGACATTTTACTTCAGTATGTGGTGAAAAGTTTTGATAGATCAACAAAAGTTATTGATTTCCATTACCCAAATGAGCTGCTCCAAGAATATAACTGGGAACTGGCAGACCAGCCACAGACCTTGGAAGAAATTTTATTGAACTGCAGAACAACTCTGAAGTATGCAATTAAAACAGGTAATAGCAATGCTCGTTTTCTACCCTGTATGGTCTCATCCATTGATTATAGGTGTCATTTCAATTCAGCTTGAAACGTTAGAGATTGAAACAGCAACTGTATTTTGTCAGCTCCAAGCAATTTCTA